GAGGAGGACAAGGAGGGAGACAGGAGGGGGGAGGAGGAAGAGGAGGAGGGGGAGGGAGGAGGAGGAGGAGGAAGAGGAGGAGGAGGAAGAGGAGGAAGAGGGGGAAGAGGAGGAGAAGTTGTTTCTATGCTGGAGAGATGGCTCAGAAGTTAAGAGCACTGGCTGCTCTTTCAGAGGACCTGGGTTGATTCCCAGCCCCCACATGGTGGCTAACAATCATTAGTAACTTCAGTTCCAAGTAATCCAACACCCTTTTCTGGCCTCTGTGAGCACTGCATGACATGGGTTCACTTAAAACATGCAGGCAAAACACTCATTCACATAAAATAAAAATAAATTTTAAAAAATTTTTAAGTTTCATAATGTTTTAAGTAAATTTACAATTTTGTGTAGGCCATATTCATAGCTATCCTTGGCCACAAGTGGCTCATAGGCCATGGGTTGGCCCTACCTTCTAGACCAAGGACTTTGGAAGACAAAATTTACAACTTTAGAAGGAGGGACTATTAGTATTCTTGTTTTTCCTAATGAGGTTGCAGAGCCCGAGGTTGTGTAATTATAAGAGGAAGCAGAAATCAAGTCCTGGGAAACTGCTACCCTATCCCACAGGGCACTCTACACTGATGAGTTTCCTGTTTTCTCATTAATTTCTTGCCATTCCAGTCAAAATACTGACCCTAGGATCAGATTCTATTCACGAGCATGTGAAGACTTTTTCAATCTCCACTACTGGAAAAACAAAGAGGACTGAGAACATTCTGTGTTCCAGTGTGCAAAATGGAGCTCTTAAAAATCATTATATCGGGGGTTGGAGAGATGGCTCAGCGGTTAAGAATTCTTCTGTTCTTGCAGAAGATCCGGGTTCAAATCCCAGCACCCATATGGCAGCTAACAACTATCCACAACTCCAGTTGCAGGGAATCTGACAGTCTCTTTTGTTCTCGGCAGGCATTGCACAACACGGGTACACTTACCTACGTGCAGGCAATACACGCATGCACATAAAATAAAAATAGTAAATAAATTTTTTAAAAAATCAGCATATCACATTTAAACACCTTAGAAAACAAAGACCCTCAGGTTGGCAGTGAATATTTATGATATTTGGAGAAAACTTAATTTCAGTGTAGTTAGTATCTTAGAAACGCCCCCTACCATGAAATGTGTGCAGCAGGGAATGCAGCAGGGAATGGATCTGCCGTGTTTACCTCCAGGTCCCTAGCATCTACTACTCTATCTGACAGATAGAGGGTCTTTAGCATTTTTAAATGACTGAATGCATCAGGGAGTGAAAGGTCATCCCTTACTATCATGAAAGAAAGGGCTAGGGATAGCAGTGTTCTTTCTTCCTTTGTTACATTCTCTCCATAAAAATAAAACCATCAAGCCAGGTGTAGTGACACATGCCTGTAGTCCCAGCAGTTGGGAGGCAGAGGCAGGCAGATCTCTGTGAGTTCAAGGCCAGACTGGTCTACATAGTGAGTTCCAGGTCAGCTGGGGTTACAAGGAGACCCTGTCTCAAAAAGACAAAAAAAGAAAAAAAATAAAACTGTCAATTCCTATAGACTCTTCTAAGTTGATATCCCAACTAAAGAATACATACATTGTGAGAATTCCAGGACAGCTGGAGCTACAGGGAGACCCTGTCTCAAAAAGACCCCCCCCCCAAAAACACATATAGAGTATTAAATGTATCCACATACTAACCCAGATTGAAATGATTTCCTATTGAGATGAAAACATCATTTTTTTTTTTTTACAGATTTCAAAGTTGCATAAAGCACTTGCCACACAAGTATGTGGACCTGAGTATGAATCCTCCAGAAGCCACGTAAAGCCAGGACACAGTAGTGCACTTCCGCGTCTCAGGTCTCTTACAGAGACAGGAGAATCCCCAAAGTTCATGGGCCAGCTACCTTAGCACAGGCAGTGGCGAACAAGACAGAGACCTGTCCCAAACAAAGCAGAAGGCAAGAACCCAAACCAGAGCATGACCTCTGACCTCCACATCCCTACCACGAATGTAGCACACACATCATACACACATAAACACACACTCAAAGTTGTTTGTTTTTTTAATCAGCATTTTCTTACCTGGAAACCCAGTCAACAGCCAGACTTTCTGCACCTGTTACTCTGTGGCTTACAATTGTCTCCCTGTTTGTCTTATTCAGAAACATCCTCTCAATGACATGCTTCTGGATATCAATCCAATACAATCTCTTTTCTACTCTGTCAAAGTCCAGTGCCACAACATTGCTCAATCCTTGCAGAATGAGGGAGTAAAGCCTGCCATCTGTGGTTAAATTTCTCAGATAATAACGGTTGCTGAAGATGAGGTAGGGCTCAATGTTGCTGTTCTGTCGACACCTCTTGCCGTCTGCCTCACGAATGTAGCCCGGGGCACACTTACAATAATAAGATCCTACTACATTCTCACACTTCTGGCTACACACATGTGGCGTCTCCTTGCATTCATCAATATCAACACAAGTCCGCTTGTCAGACATGAGCTTGTACCCAGGACGACAGGAGCAGTAGAAACTGGTTATGGTGTCTGTACAGTTGTGGTCACAGCGACTGATTGAAGGGTCCTGGCATTCATTAATGCCTGTAGGCAAATGACAGTTACTAAAGAATAGCAGCAATGGGCTGACTATTACATTCAAAGTCAATGTTCCTACTAGACAATGCCAATTCTTAGTGAATCATTCTAAAAGATGAACTGCTAGGATTTCCAAAGGCCAGGGGTTATTCAGAAGTCACCAATTTTTCAATTTCCGCTCTAGTTTAATCCTTTTTTCCTCTCATTTAGAGAATGCCTTATTAGTGTCTATGACTAAACTCGCTTTGATAAGACCTTACGTATTTAAAAACAGTGTGCCATGCCTATATAAATGGGGAAAAATTAAATTTTCTAGGCCAATATGGCTATTAATTTCTGTACAATGCCAATGCAACACTGTTGACAGCAGTTATATGAACAATAACAGTATGCTATGCCTCGATAGCAATCACAACTTTTCTGGATTCAAGAGTCATCTGAACAAAATTATAGAGGCATCCAGCACATTCTAGCTTAGCCATTCATCAGTGGTTTTTAACAATTAATACAACTGATAAGCTTAAGATGACATGTAGTCCTGTGGTTGCCAACCTTTCCTTAACAATTACTTTATATTTTGAGACAGAGTCTTGATATGTTGCCCAAGATGGCCTTGAACTCCCAGGCTAATAAAGCGATCCTCTTGTATCAGCCTCCCAAGTAGCTGGTACCAGCACAAACCACTGTGTCCAGTTCTCCATAAGCTTAAAAATAAAATAAGAGGTAGAGAAGAAAAAGAGAAAAAGAGTCTCCCCAGTGTGCTGGAATAACAGGTTTCTGAGAAAAGTACTGATTGTAGCATCTTCGATTTCAGTGCTGTGATACATTCTGGCCAGTCTCCAACTATCAGAGCATCAAGGCTAGGAAGAAATGCACACATCTACCTCTCATGGGATGAGATGAGCTTACCACTAGGTACATCACAACACCAGATAGACCTCTAGCTGGTCTTGTGACACATGATCAAGCTCATCCCCCAAACCATCTATACCAATGAATGATAGTTTAAAAACTACTTCACATGCTTCAAAAATCCATGATCCAATGAGCCTAATTCTGCTGCTGGTTTCCATGTAACCCTAAACAATTCATTTTCTGTCCATATACTACCTTGTCTGCAAAAGGAATAATGCCTACAAGATTGCTAGGGATTCTATTGTCTTGAGACTGGAATGTTTTCTTCAAAGTAAACATTTCAATTTGAGTTATGTGCAACAGAGTATTTGGTTCCTATAGTTTAGGCAGAGAAAAATTATTTTAAAAAACTAAAAGACTCAAAGTGTGGCAGTGCAAGCCTATAATCCCAGCACTTGGAGACTAAAGCATGAGGCTTGACAGAATTTCATCCTGAGCCATAGAGAAGATTCTGTCTCAGAACACCAAGAAAGCAAACAATACAAAAAGTATTTTTCTTTATTTAATGTTCTTTGAGTCTTGGTAGAAACAGAACATTTTTCTTGTACTTCAGGAAATAACCTACTTTTACAAATTTTCAAATATTACACGTAGATGTTTTATTCTGCATATTTCCATAGCATTTTCATCTGAATTTCTCTGCATAAACACAAACACATATGCACACACATGCGTGCGCACACACACTTTTGGGTCAATTAGGCAAATGTATTTCATGACAACCAATGGAAGAAAAAAAACAAAATGATATAGTTTCAACTTCAAAACACTTAAATTTTTGTCAGCGAGAAATGCCAACATGAAAGAAGAAGGATGATCAAGAATGAACTCCGCAGAGCATGACGGTCAACATCAGGCATTCAAGATGGTGCTGAGCAAACAGGGCTCATTCCATAAACTTTGAACTGGCTTACTTACATTTGTTTGTTAGTGTGGAGATGCTCCCAAGCACCCAAGGATGGAAATGAAGAGCAAGCCAAGAAGTCCATCTAGGGACACTCAGACAGTGAGTCATTCTGAGAGTGCACAGAGCATCGCCATGTTCTCTTCACTTTGGATACCTTCTTCAGCAATGCTTTAAAATCACAGCCTGCTTTCTCCAGTGACTGCCTAACTAGCCCCTAATGTGTGTGCACCTACCTTGTATACCTAGAAATCTTTGCCTGCAGATATGAAAGCAACAGTATTAAACAAGTTGTCCTGACAGGCCTTAAAGGATTGAGAATCTGTACAGCCCCCTCTGCTTCTCCCATACCTCTTTGCTGTACTCACCACAGCCTTTCTCGTCACTGTTGTCAGAGCAGTCATCTATGTGGTTGCAGACCTTCCCCATCTCGATGCAGTGACCATTGTCACATCTGAACTGATGAGGGGGGCATGTGGGTTCCGGGATGTGACACAAGTGGTCTTGCTCATCTGATCCATCTCCACAGTCATTGTCATTATCACAGACAAAGTTCCTATTAATGCACTGTCCGTTTTGGCAGGTAAACTCATTGGCCTGGCAGGGCGGGTAGGAGCAGGACCTCTCATCACTGTAGTCACCGCAGTCATTGTGCCGGTCACACCTGTGTTATGAGACCCAGGACCATTTTGAAGAGGTTGTCAAGTCTCAACTCACACATACTTGAGGATTTGCTTTCTCCTCTATCTGCCTGAATGCAGATTGTTCACTTTAACAAGTTCACCAAAGCCTTAGCCCTCTTCCACCAAAATCTCCATCATCCCCACCAATCTCCAACTCTAGAATGATCCATAATTTGGCATTCCACACAACTTCCCCAAGTGATGGTGGCTGCATAAAAAATGTGGGTGTTTCCCCTAAATAATAGGTTAATTTAAAAAAATTGTAATTTTGTGTTTACCTACCCTATCATAGTTTATGGACATAGCAAAAGAATTCATATATTCATAACTCATGAAATAGCTTATGGGCACTGGGAATATCTCAGTCAAATCATTTAGAAATAGTATAAATCCTTAGGGTAAGTTGGATATCCTATAAAAGATAATATTATTGGATTTGTCCTTTAAAAACAACTGTCTTCCAATGTTTGTATTAGCAGACCCATTCCTTCTATCTTTCAGATAATTCTACTGCAATGTATCTATCATGAGATGTGTTTAAGGTGACAGGAAGGAGGGAAAGTCACTCAATTAGCAAAGGAAGAAGGCGCACTGCAGCCTTAAGAGTTACTCTGGGTCCTACTGTCCCCAGACATCATGAAGATAATACAGATTCTTGAAATTCCATATACTGGTCTATCCTCATTACATTATTACAGGATCCCATAAAAAGTCATACTTACTGAATAAGGTCCTGGTGACAGTAAAATTTCATAATAAGTGTAAGGAAATCTGGGCTAAGGATGTAAAGCTAATGCTTGACAATACAAACAATTAACCATAGAAGACATAGGAGCTGGGGCAAAGCCCTGTGAGCTATTAAGACACCAGAATTTTACAGCGGGTCAGTGACCACATCTGCCTACTACAGCTGCAATCCACAACCCAGGGCACTGCCAACAAATGTATGCACGGAACCATGAAACTGACACACCGAGTGCTGGTTGAGAGGGCAACATGCATGGAGCTGTGAGGAAAGCTGAAGACAAACCAAACTGGTTCAGCCCACTTGGCCCTGTAGCTCAGGTTTCAGAGAAATATTTTTTTTTTCTATTCTGCCATAGCATTGGGAAAAAAGAGAAAGAAAGAGGAAAAGGGAATGTAAGAAAAGAATAAAAAGAGAAGATGACTGGAATCAGTAAAAGTCTGGAAGGCTGTTGGTAAGGAAGCCTTGAGATGGTCGTAAGGATAAAGGCAGAGCTCAGAAAAAGAGGCAAGGGGCAACCCAGAGCCTGAACAAAACCAAAACCTGCTGCAATTCTACTCCCTAGATCCTATGTACGGGTCTTACTAAGAGTGACAGTATTAACTACTGAATTCAGAAGATTCAAATAGAAGCACAGCATACTAGAATGTAGGGAGAGGATCATGTTCATGACCAAAATAAAACTCCACAGATCATAGCCCTATCAGTTCAGTTCAATGCAAACAAACTTGCATGTAATGCTACTTCGCTATAAAGGAGACAAGGAGACAATGCCTTCTCCTGAGCATCTTCAGACTGTCAATGGCAAAGACTACCATTCAGGAGCAGCTATTTGGGCCTCAACAAGGGTTTTGTCATGCTACAAAATATGCATTCTAGGCAACATCCCACTGCTTCTTCAGTCATAGTTATTCTCTAAGGCTGAGCCCCTGCTCCTCCTTTTGCAAACTTCGTAGAACCTTGTTTTCCTCTTCAGGATGCCATTGTACACAGTTCTGCACCACACTGTATTCCAGACATAACTCAGTATCTGTGAATGGGCACCCATCACTAAAATAAATGGTCCCAGACCTCTGCTGCTTTGACCTTGAACCCACTTTCTACATCTTTCCATCTTCTTCCCTAGGAGTAGTAGGCCAACAGTTCCCAGTGCTCTCAATATGCCTGTGTGCTCTTTAACCTTTCTGAGCGGATGCAATATCTCTTCTCAATTCTAGTCCCACGTGTCCAAATGCCTAATACCTATTTTCATCTCAGATAGTTCTACAACAAAAATAATTTTTCCCGTGGATAAACTCCTTTCAAGGTTCCTCTATTTTGGCTAAGCCTTTTATCATTCTCTAACTCCCTAAGAATTGATATTTAAATATCAGCCTTCTGCTGAACTTCCTCTCTATCTAAAGATTTACTAAATAGAGTAATAAGAGGCTGGGGCACTATAAATGTATAATTTATTTGAAGAGACCCATTTGAAGAATGTGGTAAGAAATCACATCACAAAAAAATTACAGAAGTCTTCAAATTGGCCACATAGTATTTTAAGAATTTTGAATTGGGGGACTGGAAAGATGACCTAGCAGTTAAGAGCACTGGCTGCTCTTGCAGAGAACCCGATTCGGTTCTCAGCACCCATATGGCAGCTAACAACTGTAGATAACTCTAGTTCCAGGGGATCTGATGTCCTCTTCTGGTCTCCCCAGGCATTGCATGCAGGCACATGAAGAAAAAACATACATATATAAAAAATAAAACATTTAAATTTAAAAAAGAATTTTAAAATGTCTCCATGGAACTGGAAAGATGGCTCAGCGATTAAGAGCACTGGAGTAGAGGATCTGGGTTCAGTTCCCAGTACACACATGGTGGCTAACAGCTGTCCATAACCCCAGTTCCAAGGGATCCGACGCCCTCTTTATACCTCTACAGGCATTGCACCACACAGGTGTACTTACACACATACATGCAATACACCCATACACATAAAATAAAAATACGTAAAAATATTTAAAACGTTTCCACCATTTAAAATCACCATATGAAAACCCATGCTTTGAACTTTTAAAACAGAAGATCTGGCCCTCCCACATGACACCAAGTAACATTTGTTTCCTTAGCTGAACATGGGTCTTAGATCCCCATATCTGCCTCTCCCTGTCATCTCCTTGACCCTGAGCCTAAGGGCCAAGCTCCACTTATCATGTTGGAGTTGTTATTCTTCTTGTAGCAAAACATTTCTTGTACTCGTGCCTGTACTCCAGGTGGAAAACTAAGAGGATCACCCATTTCAAGAAAGAAATTTCTAGTATCAACTTAACTTCATTCACTTCCCTGTCCTCTGTAGGCCACATCATGGCTTTCATAAGCCCTAGATGCTTTTGCTTTCTTGGGCCACTTCATCCATAAGAAATTCCCCCTTTTTTCTCCTTTGATTTCAAAATAATGGAAACACTTTCTTAGACAGCCAAGAGTATCATGGACACTAGGTCCTGCAGCCACTTTGCCTTACATTATGTAAGTCAGCCCTGGCCCCCATGGATAGCTGGGGTTTGGAGGAACACGTTTGAATCCCCAATTTACCTGAATATTTCCCTGACACACCGTCCATTGCCACATGTGAATTCATCTTCAGCACACGATCTCCTGGTACAATTCTGTTGTTCATCAAGGGCATCAGCACAATCTGCATCACCATCACAGACCCAGTTTTGGGGGATGCACCTCCTGCTCGGCGGTCTGTTATTTGCACATAGAAACTGTGTGCTTGAACAGTTCCTATTCTCTGAAATTCAAGCAGACAGGAATCAGAAGCCATCTCAGAGCTCTCCAAAACAGTCAATCATTTCGCTTTATAATATTTAACACTCTGAAAAATGAATGGAAATAGAAAGACAAATCACATAGCCATGGTAATAATAGATCATAACATAAATACCTCCAAAGTTCCATCTGAATTGCTATGGGCTCAGAAGTAAAACATCTCACTTAGTTTTCCATAAGTTATATAAGAATATATTTTTCCCTCAAAGCTTCAGAAAACTACTCCCATTTTTAAAATTTGAATAAATACTTTACATTTTGACAATGTGGTTAAGATTCTACAATGTAATCATATAAGCCCAAAATGAGATTGGTATTTTAATGCCAATTTGATGGATGAGAAAACTGAAGTTCAAAATCAAAGCAAGAGAACCAACAAAACAAATGGTTAGAGCTTTAAACACTGGTCTTCCTCCTCTGAAGCTAGGGCCTTTTTGACTACATAACAAACACACTCCCACCCCCAGCAAGAGAGTAGTTGGGAGGTCAGAGTTGTCAGAAATATGACACTGGGAGACAAAAGATGATACAGAATACACAAGCTGGTGCAGAATCATTAATGTCTACAAAATAAAATATTTTACCGAACCCCATTGCAAATAGACAAACAGAAGGCAGGGGATAGAGGTTACTACAATTCTCCTAAGTGTAATTTCTAGCCACCCATTTCAGTGATGGTGCATATGTAGAGCTGTGGACCACAACCAGAGCCATAGCATGTGAATTCGCTGTCAAGTGCAAACATCAGGAAACCACCGTCCTTACTGCTCTACTAGGAAAGACACTCCACTAAGGCACTTTGGGTAACAACTTCATGCTTTGCCGGCAACGGAAATTTGTGTTCAGTAATCCGCTTATGAATACTGCAACTTCTCAGCTCCCTAGTCCCTAGGTTGTACATGAAACTGGAGGGGAGATTATCTGTCCTGCCACTAAAGCTGTTACCAATGTCCTTCTTCTACTGTAGAAATGTAAGACAGTATTTCCATTAGTCAAATGTGAAAGAAAACAAACACCAAGTCATTTTTTCATCATTGTAAACCATGTAAGCAGATGATGTCAGACAGGTAGCAGTCCATCTATCAGTATACATTCAATTAAACAGGAATTTCCTGAAAATTGGAGTCTTCAAACCCAAAAAGCCTCACCATGTTTCCCTGGGTGAGATTCTGCTGAGGAATTAGCCAGCTTCACTTACCACAATGATGTCTTCCATCCTCGTCACTCATGTCCCCACAGTCGTTATCACCATCACAGATCCAGTTTCTTGAAATACACCTGCCATTATCACATGTGAACTCATTAGCTCTGCAGGTTGGCCTAGAGTATACTAAAGAAAAGAAAGAAAAGAAAAAAGTCTCAGTGAAAAGAGTGATTTACAGTCCAGGAAGCTTGACAGCAGTTACCAATAGGAAATAAACAGAGTCCTTTGTTCATACACACCTAGAGAGGACCACCAATGAGACATATATTAGAACCAAAAGTTTCAGAGAAAAATAGTGACTTGACAGTACAAAGGCACAATATATATCTGGATATTATTAGTTGGATTGTTATAATAAAGATACATAGTATATAAACTCCATATTTTTAATTTAAATATGCCATACACTTGGTACTAACTGCTATTGCTTTAACTTTTGTTCCATGAATTTGGAAACTCATATATTCTTATCAATAATTCTTACATTTGGATGAATTTTAAAGTCCTATAATCACCTAACAGTTATTCTTTCCTCCGATGACACTCAAAACTCTATGTGCTCTTTATTGCCTACATAATTTATGGTGTTGAGGTAAGAAAAAAAAACTTGGCCAAATATTTCAAATACCACTATTGAAAATCCACCACAGAATTAAGCCTCGGAGAAAACAGGGACTGAAACAGCATGAATTTAGCTGAAAAGCTATGCTAATACTTGGCATAGTGGTGCACGCCTTTAATCCCAGCACTCAGGAGGCAGAGGCAGAGGCAGGCAGACTTCTGTGAGTTCAATGCCAGCCTGGTCTACATAGTGAGTTCCAGGCCAGCTGGGGCTACAAGGAGATCCTGTCCAAAAAGACCAGAAAAAAAAAAAAGAAAGAAACAATACAAAAGTTCTGTCTTCAGATATATTTACAATTACTTTTACATGTGCATGGATACAGATTTGAAATTTGCAAAGGTAAAGAGCAGTCTTCAAATACAAACAACATACAACTGCTCCTAGCTATTCAAGCGGGCCCCTGGAAGTCAGGTGGCCAGATGCCCTCACTCTACAATGTGTTCTTCCCCATAGATGCGATTAATCCAATCACATTTGGTTCTTAAAAGCCACGACACAACCAAAATTCAGAAATTCCAATGGAGAGTCAGCTACAACTCAGACACTGTCGGGGACATCACCAATATAATTTCACTTTATCAGCACCGAGCAGCAGCCTCCATATTTTGATCAGCTCCCCACAGTGCCCACACTAGTAAGTCTTTGATAAACATCTGAGTGGTTTCAGCTTCCTGGCTAAGAGCACGAGCACTTAGCCGAGTAACACGGCTCAAGCATTTGAAGTGAGTAGAGGTGCCCAAGCTTCCCTAGCTTCTTCCTATGCTAGTCATGCTTACTGACTCTTACCACAAGAGGCCGGTTCATCAGAGCCATCAGTACAGTCGTCTGTATTATCACAGTACCAGGACTGTGGAATGCATTGTGGAGAAGATGTGCACTGGAACTCACTGCTGCTGCATGTGAATGTTCCTGGAGGAGGGACAGAAGATGAAACCCAGGAGCAAAACACAAGCAGGTTCCTACCTGTCTTGACTATCTACCTGTATCTCTTAACTGGGAAAGAAAGGGTAAGGCCTGGAAAGCGGCCTTTTATGGAAGTTTCTATGGGGAGGGAGGAGTCTGAGAGACATAAGGGAAATACTTCTCCAGTTTCCCTGAATTTTTTTGTTTCACACTCCAGAAATACAAAACAAAAATTCTATTTGATAGATACCAAAGTAGGCCAGGTACAATATGACACATGAACAGTCTCAGCTACTCAAGAGACTGAGACAGGACACTCAGTGGAGTTCAAAGCTAGCCTATCCCAATAATACATGTATACTGTCATTGAGATGTGAAAACAAATTATGTAAAGTAATTCTTGATTTTTTTCAGTTAAGTGAATTATAATGAAATAATTAAAAAGACATTATTACCAATTCTAAACTCTGTCCTCCACACAGTCTTTAATCACAAAATTGGAAAATTGTGATGTACTATGATTTCCTTGGGAGGGGATCCACAAACAGAATTCTTAAAATACGCATCTATTCACACTAATAGCCTCAAAGTTATTTGGTGAGCTACCAGTAAATAGTTTCAATGAATCAACTTGCTAAATAAGTTTCTGAAACTTAAAATTAAGAGATATAAAAGTACTTTTTACTTAGCATCACTACTATCATATTCAAAGTAAATAATAACTTAATATGCAAATTCTGCCTGTAGGCCTTGCAGATAAAACACGTTGGACACTAAGAGAAGTGGCTCTCCTACTGTAACAGGCCTCCAGAAGAAAACATTTGAGGTGTGAGACCTCATACCCCTCAAATGATATCTTAAAGCACTGCCTTCCACATCTACTTGCAAGCTCAGTTTCACAATCAAGCTAGTACATTGAGATGATGCATGATGGCATCACAGAATGAGAAGCAGTTTTCTCATACTCACTGCAGTAAGTGGGGTTTTCATCACTCATATCCCCACAGTCATTGTCTCCATCACACAAAAAGTATCGAGAAATACAAATATTTGTATTCTGGCATCTTGTGAGTGGAGGCTGGCAAGTGCGAGGGGCTGCAAAGAGAAAACCAGGTAAACGTTTAGAACAGCTCCACCAAATGTACCATAAACAATGTCTATGCTAAAAAACCTAGCAAAGGTTTCAAAGCACAAGAACAGAGGTATTTTTAAAGGATGCAGAGACACACAAGCTAGGACACTCATGCTACCAATGGATTCTCTAGTAAAGAGAATCAACTGGCCTTAGGGTTGCAGAAAAATTTGTGGGTTGCAGAGAACATGTATATGAAGCAGATTTGTAGAGATGCATCAGCTTAAGCAAACAGTTGAGATATTGAGTGGGATTTAAATCATTTAGTTGATTATATCAAGCACTTAGGGTTTTCTTTTTCAGAAAGCAATAATTTTCATGTAAAATGTCATCTCCCATGATCTAAGTAAGACCACATGCCCCAATTGTAAACTTACGGCAATTTTTCTCATCTGAGATGTCATTATCATGACAGTTGTTAAGGCCATTGCAGACATAATCGAGCGGTATGCACCTCCCATTGCCACAGGTAAACTCTGTGGTGCTGTTGCAGTTCCTGAACAGGCAGCCTGCCTCGTCACTGTTGTCACCACAATCATCATAGTGATCACAGCGATAGTTGTATGGGACACATCGCCTGTTGGTACAAGTGAAGGCTGTCGACCGGCAAGTGTGAAATGCTAAGAGGAAGAGAAGACATTGGAAGAATCTCTTTTCATATTGCCATATTTACAACTAAATAAAAATAGGCTTCTTTTTAGTTTACCTTCTGAAACAAAACTGGTTGAAAATTGGAATGTATGCAAAGTGAGATAGCATTTTAAATCACCTAGACTAAGCAAGTTATATGTTCTATGCCTCTTTAAATGAATAAAGTATTTTAAGTGAAAATCACCACATTTTTTGTTTTTACAATCAGTCTCAGAGAAGCACGCAAAAGCACATTTGGGTAAAGAAACTTCCCGGGACCTGCATTGCCTGCTAATAAAAGGTATCCAACTTCAGAACTTCTTCAGTCAACTGTGCCTTATTCCATTGACAAGGAAACTGAGACTTGACAGTGTTTTAAATCAAGTACTACAATGATGATCTTCCTATTATGAAGACTGATAAAATGCTAAGTCACCTGCTGGCACCCTTAGTGCCATGCTATCGTGCACCACAGTATGCTCTCTGGGGTCTTATAAGACCCTAGTAGCCACTCAGTTTCATAGATGAGGTGTCTAAGTCTAGGTAACATGTTAAAGCTATGCAGACTATGACTGTGAAAGGCAGGATTTTAATATAGTGTTTTACTTATAAACACACAGATGTGACTTAACAGAAATGCAGTTTAGGTTATCAGAATGAATGCTTTTGGTTCTAACAGGATACTTAGACACAAATTTCCAACCATTCATGCACAGTTATCTGTATAAACAGCTACTTAACTGCATTCTTAGCTCCTAAGAAAAACACTCCAGCTTACCACAGACAGTTTCCAACTCATCGCTGCCGTCGCCACAGTCATTGTCATTATCACATTTCCAAGTCTCTGGGATGCAGAGCCCATTGCGGCAGGTGAACTGGGATACATCACACCGGGCACCAGTGTCCACAATGCAATGCTTATTGTTGTTGGCCAGATACCAGTTGCCTTGATGTGGACACTGGCATTCGGCTCCATTTGGACCTGGGACCAGAAGAAGCAAAGCATGGGTAGAGGAACTAATGTTAGCCTCCTCCAGAATAGCATTTTCAATACTTGGGAGATTGAATACTCCATACAATAACACTGCTTGTTCACCTTTCAACTATACTTTAAGTCATTTTTTCCACTAAAAAGGACAGCCACTAATTTCTAACAAAGGGGCTGGCTTACTCTACTATTAAACTACTACACATCTGCAGTGTAATGATTCTCTTAGAAAAATCTGTGGGCTGGAGAAATGGCTCAGTGGTTAAGAACACTTATTGTTCTTGCAGAAGACCTGGGTTCAATTCCCAGCACCCACATGGCAGCTACGAACCGTCCTTAACTCTGACCTCCGCAGCATTGCACTCATATACATGTAGGCAATACATTCATACACACAAAATGAAAATAATAAATAAAAATATTTTTTAAAAAATACTGGTTGTTCTTGCAGAAGACCTGGGTTTTAATCCCAACACCAAAATGGCAGCTAACAACTGTCTATAATTCCAGTTCCAGGGGATCCAATAGCCTCTTCTGACCTCCTCGGGCATCGCATGACACAGGTGCACTTACCTACATGCAGGCAAAGCCACAATATCAAAAAAGCAAATATTTTTATGAAGTTGCCCTCTATAAAATACATATTTCACCATAAAGTATCAAACTACAAATAATACCTCCTAAACAGAAAAGGTACATTGAATTCCTACACAGTCGTGAATAATCCTCATCTTATTTTATCCCTCCATCAAGCTTCCATTTAAACTGCCTTCATAGGACAGCTCTATGTAGAAGAGAAAAGAAACACAAAGTCTTCTTCTCCAAAGATGCCCTTAGTTTAACCTTAAATCAAGGAGAATTTGAGCTTCCTTTCTTGTTAGAGATGATATTCTTTTAGCCTCCCATACCAGGTATTGTTTTCATCATCTCATCATCACAAACATCACAGTTACTATTCCACTGGTTTTCATCCTCACACCTAACCCCTTACCTGGTGTACAGATATGGCTGCAGCCCCCATTAAACTGATCACAAGGATTGCCACACTGCTGCTGCTCATTTTTCATGACTGTGGAAATGCCCTTAGGCCGGACAGGCAAGCTGGTGGTCATCGCAATCAGATCTGACCCATCATATTTGTTAGCTCGGTAAATTTTTTTTGTGAAGAAGTCAGTCCAATAAATGTACTGGCTGTAGACGATCAAGCCAAAAGAATGAAAGGCAGTGCTGACAACGACTTCACGGTTCGTGCCTGTGAGAGTACTGCGCTCAATCTTCTGCCTGCAATGAAGTTAAAAAGAGCAATAAAAACAATTGCTGAAACCCAGAAAGAATAGTTAGGCTTGGGCATTCACTTACACAAGTTCCCAAGTGTCTTTTAAAGTGGCACACAGGGCAATAAGGCATGTTTCTCTTGGTGATGTAAGTTCTTATTTGCTTATCAAACACTGGCCTACCTATATCATTTATTGTCAGAGATGAATATATCCCTAAAGACCTGCTACAAAAGAGCCAAATTGACATCAGAAGTCAGAAAACTATGAAAGGATTCGTGTGATGAGTGGAACCTGGGTGGAACACAGCAATAAAATGTCAGTGTCTGTCCTTCCCTAATGCTTTCTCAATTTATCATTGATTACTCTGAGGTAGTCACATAGAATGATCCCAAAGTAGGCTTAAACATAACTGCGTGGTTCACATGAGAAAATGATGAAAAAATCGGGCTGTTGATCAGCTGCTTATCATCACAGGGCCAGTAATCATGAGGAAATAAGAAATTCAAAGATTCCTCACATGTAGACACCAAATGCAATGAACAAAGTCATTTCAGTCCTTCAACTATTCCATTAGGATGACTGGAATGTGATGTGTTTCAAGGTTACACAGCAAAATTACATTATATTACAAAATAGAGTGGACAAAAGCTTAAAAGAAAAATGTGAAATTGACTGTAAATGCATGCCAAGGATCAGTTTGAAAACAGGGCCAAGAGCAACAGGCAAAGGAAATCATGTTTTAAAAGACACTGAGGGCTAGGCATGGCAGTGCATGCCTTTAATTCCAGCACTTGGGAGGCAGAGACAGACGAAGTTCCGTCTCTGTGAGTTCAAGGCCAGTTTGGTCTATACAGAGAGTTCCAGGTCAGCTGGGGTTACAGAGAGACCCTGTCTCAAAAAAGATAATAAATAAATAAATAAATAAATAAATAAATAAATAAATAAATAAGACACTGAAAACCAGTCATTAAAGGTGTGCACACCTTTAACCCTAGCACACAAGAAGGAGAGGAAGGTGGAGCTCTGTGAGATCAAAGCCAGCCTGGTCTACATAGTAAGTTCCAGGCCAGTTGGGGCTACATGGAGACCTTGTATCCAAAAGACCACAAAAGATACTGAAAGATCAAGCCCAGGAAATAATCTAAGTTCATTTAAGTTATTCAAAGTTGAATAATTATAATTACAATTACAATTGAAATCATAGATCTATTTGGTGATTATAAATTTAGATGTATTTTAGTTCATAATGAGTCACACTCATGAAAAAGATAAATTTTCATGGCTAGGTTCAGCAATCTAGAATAGAAAATGGTTCTTAAAACTGCAATTCTACATTTAGGCAATGTCTTTCTGGTATATCAAATTTTCACCACATTTAAGCAAGTCCCTGTACTTTGGAAGTAGGAGGAATAATTCATCTTCTCAACACCCACATGAATCAAAAATACCTACAGACTAGCATCGGCCCAGTACAGAAGGTCTGTCTCGCGGTCCAAAGTGAGTCCATTGGGCCAAACCAGGCTGGTGTTCACAATGGGGACCCTAAAGTTTCCTGCCAGTGTGGCTCTCTCAATTTTGGCATTTGTCCCCCAGTCAGTCCAGTACATGTACCTAGTCATGCAAAAGAAGCCATAATTTAATTCACACAAGGAACTTTCTTAAGACTTTTCACTTAATAGTTTTTAAAAAGTAACAACATTCTTTCATTGCAAATGATCATATATATACAGGTGACTATAAAAAATACTCTATTCCTACCCATACAACAATCCCAAAATGGATTTACCAAGTTAGAGCACTGATTTCCTAGAAAGTCATCAGCCTTCCTGCAATCAAAGATTGCTACTCACTTTACTCTCCTTTCCAGGTAAAGGTCACCTAAAGCTTTTGTTTCTGTGCAAGCCCATAAAATGTTGGTTCTCTGTGCACATGAAGTAATTCCTGACCCCACTCCATCCTCAAATAAGCAGATAAATAAAGAAGACCACAGCATACCCTCGGCAAGGATCTAACACAATTGCTCTTGGTTTTGGAACACGGGCTATCACAGAACGATTAGATCCATTTTCAGCCATGGAATAAATTGTCTGGTTGATGTAGTCACTGTAATAAATTCTTCTATTAATCCAGTCAAAGGCAATGCCATCAGCAGTACCTATATCTGGACACACAACAGTAGATACATGCATAAACACAGGAAGATGGTAGAGCCTCAATATGCATTAAGAACAGTCATTCAATTAAATGTGTTGACTTCATTCTAACTACCGTCAAGGTCAACTCTACCTTGTGTGCACTTACCTGAAGCAATGACAGTCAGAGAACTGATCCCTGAGTACAGGTTGACATAGGAAATCTGGCCATGTCCAGAGTTTAAACTTTGTGTGAAGAATATTCTATTATTTTTCTTGTCATAATCCAAAGCAATGGCAGTTCTTTGCACGTTCATTTCTTGGAAAGGCGGGCTATGGTCTTCAGGGTCAAAGTGTAAGCTTCTCAAGGAATTATCCAAGGCATAGATGAGGAAATCTTCTCTTGGAATGGCACAGCTCTTGCCATCACTTTCCAAAATCCCAAAGGCACATCCACATTTTGGCATGTGCAATTCAGGTAAAGCGAAGCAGAAATGGGAGCAGCCGCCATTACTTCCCAAGCAAGGGTTATTGTTGACCTCTGCTGGAGACCGGGGCTGGACACGTTCATCAAAGATGGTCACATCTCGTAACCAGTTGATATTGTCTCTTATCACTGTTGGTGGATCTGTGTTTGCTGGCTGCTTGCTAGCTTGGAAGATTTTTTTCAAATTTCTATCTACCCATATGATAGACTCTCCAAACACAGTGATACCATAAGGAGTTGGGTAACGACTACCAAAACGAATCATTTCAGATTCCCCTCCATTAATATGGATTCTTGCAATTAAATCTAAGAAATCATCAACCCAATAAATATAGTCATTGCCATGGTCCACTGCCAAGCCCCGTGGTGTGACAATGCCTTCAGAAACAAGTACAGTTCTATTGGTACAGTCAAGAAAAGAGCGTTCAATCTTTGGTTTCTGCCCATAATCAGCCCAGAAGAGATATCTGTTCTTGGGGTCAACAACAATATGTCTCGGCATATCTACTGTGGCTTTAAGGAGAACACGGCGGTAGGTGGTGTTGATCCGTAGCACTTCTATCAGTGTTACATACACAAAGGCATTGGTAAAATAGAGATTTCCTGTGGGAAAATCAAAGACAATGTTGATAAGTAAAAAACCAAGAGGAAAAAAAGTAGTAGGTGGCGGGCTTTTCAAATTCAAAACAAAACATATGTAAGGTTGAGGTATGGATCAGTGTATGTTGTCTTCTCCAGGAACATACCTATCTAAGGGTAAGCTTAGAAAAGTAAACATTTGTGCTTAGGAATTAAAGAGAGTGCTTCTTATAAATTTAGAGAAATTTGTCCATCTTCAGCTTTTAATAGAGATCAAACTTCATAAAAAGCATTGTGCTCACTTTCTACTGAAGGGTGTTTTCCAGAATGTCTTTTTTCTTTTATCTGAAGCACTAATCAAACACACTTTATCATGGTATAACTTATACTCCAGCATGACTAGAGACACATAAGAAAGATACCCAGGAGTACCTCAGGTTGTTACCAATGCTCTCAGATGCTCTTGTAGGTAAGATTGCAATGAAGTCTTTTCCTCAAAAATCCTAAAGAATGCAGATGTTTTCATCTCATAGACCTTTTAAAGGCCACCCAATCCAAAATCTGTTTCCCTTTGGTATTAAAGTATAATGTAAATGCTAGAACAAAATAACAATCATGTAAAGATAATCTAATGGATGCAGTAGACTGATAACACTGCACTCCAAATTACTGACTTTGCTGATTCCATGTGAAGTTGATTGTTGAACTATCAATATTGTGCATATATTTTGTTCCCATATCTGCCTCAAAATACCTCTAGAGAATCCAATGTGAAATATGTTACAGATACACCTTTTTTATTACAGCTCTTGGGAGTGGGTGATAATAGTGGGTACCTATCTCCAATCCCATAATCCAGGGTTGGCGAACTTCTGTAAGAGGTCAGACAGTGAGTATTTTAGGCTGCACAGGTTGCATGGTTTGTTGAAACAGGGTCCCATGTATTCCAAAGACTTGCCTTGAGCTCACTATGTAGCTGAGGATGGCCTTCAACTACTGATTCACCTGCCTCCTCTCCAAAGTGCTGGTTATAGGCTTAGGCCAACATATCCAATCAAAATATATGACTTCTTTCACAAGTATTCAACTCTGCCATTGTGACATGAAAAATACTATAGACAACACTAAATGAATGAGTATAAGTATGTCACAACAAAGCTGTCCAAAAGCAGACGGTGGGCTACGTTTGTCCCACTGGCCACACTGCACTAACCTTACTTATCAACACTATCAAATCAGGAATGAAAAAAAAAAATCAGACATGGGAGTTAGAAACACATCAAAACCTTACTTAACTATGCTACCATATTTATTATTTGCAATAGATTCTTATTGTGATACCTAGATTTTCATGATAGTTGTTAAAATTTATAAATGATGTCTACTTATAAAGAAAGCTCAGTAACATACAAGGATACGCATTTTAATTAGGATTGGATATATTCAAAAAACTTGCAATATGGTATTTCCAAGAATCATTAAGAATGAGTGGCAATTCAAAACTAAGTGCATGAATCAATACAACCAAATTAACATAGTACTATCAGGTGTATCAATATAACTAATAAAGAAAAGTACCTAATGATCTTTTATACATTGATAAGAGGTAGCGATTAATTTGCAACTAAAATTGCTTGGCTTTAAAGTAAATGAATGCCAGTCACAATCCAAAAATTAGCTGCAAAATCTAACTAAAAAAGTACAAATCAATGCAATATAATATTTCTCACTTTTTTCCCTGATTGATTATATGAATAATAGAAGAAAATGAGATGATTAATCCATAATGAGTCTGTCAACTGAAACACCTTATCTTTCATTTAGTGAGCACATATCTTAGTCTTAAATGATCTCAATGATTGTCTAGAAAAACAAGTAGCTAGTCTACACTCTCCTACATAAAAATAAGATGACAGAGGTGAAAGTACAAAGGCAACAGATCACATACCTGCTACCCAATCCACTGCAATACCCCGGACTCCATTTGGTCCTATGCCATCTGTAATGATGTTGGTAAAAGAAGATCCATCTGGTTTGATTCTATGAATCGCATTAAAAGATTGCACAGAGGTGCTGAAATCACACCAGTAAACAAAGCCGGAGGCGACATCCACATCCACATGCAGTGCATTTCGTCCTAGAACATTTGAGAAAAGATCAGCCCACTGAACTGGCACTTCTAAATGTCTTCCCTTCCTCTAAAATTCCATTCCCCAATCTAATCAGCCCACCCAATGTTGCATAAAGCTATTTTTTTAACCAGTTGCAATGAGCATCCCTACCATCTTGGTTTCAAAATAGCATTTCCTACAATAAAGAAGGAATTCTAGCTCCTGGGAATAAATGACTGATTATAAAGCTGGGCAGGAAAGACACAAGGTGAGCCTGTAAGACCCTATTATACCATGAAGAACTCAAACACCATGAAATGATGCATAGATAGACAGACAGATAGAGATAGATAGATAGATAGATAGATAGATAGATAGATAGATAGATAGATAGATAGATAGATGATAGATAATAGAGATACAAAAGCATCAAACAATTATGTTGATTGATTATAGCACACTAAATTTTAAAATTAAAACTTGAGGGTGGGCTAGAGAAATGGCTCCATGGTTAAGAGCTCTTGCTGTTCTTACAGAGGACACAAGTTCAATTCCCAGAACCCATATCAGGTAGCTCATTACCACCTATAAATCTAGCTCCAGGAGAATCAATGCCTCTGTTCTCCTTGGACACTGCACCTACATGCATGCACATGTGCACACACACACAATTAAGAAATAATTTTGTATAAGCCAGGCATAGTGGGACATGCCTTTAATCCCAGCACTTGGGAGGCAGAGACAGGTGGACGTCTGTGAGATTAAGGCCAGCCTGATGAGTTCCAAGTCAGCTGGGGCTACAGGGAGACCCTGTCTCAAAAATACAAAATGAAACAAGCAAACAAAAAATAATTTAAAATGGTTTTTTTAAACTTGAGGGCTCAAGAAATGGATCAGTAGATAAAGGACTTGCTGTGCAAGTGTAAGGACCCCTAGGACTCAAGGTGAGTGTGAAAGCCACATATAATTCCAGTCCTCAGGAAGTGGAGCAGGGAATCTCCAACCGAAAGACGAGCTGAATCAGCAAGCTCTGGGTTCTGTGAGAGAGATCCTACCCTCCAAATAAAGTGCAGAGGAAGATACCCAGCATCAAGCTGTAGCCTCCACATGCACATGCACATATGCACACACTGGTGCCCACACATATGTGAATATACAGACATAAGCACACTACACACACACAATGAGTCCAAAATGATGATAAATTTTTAAAGATGGAGCACATTACTAATAAATGTGAAGAAATGACAGAATAGATGACCATTTACAAACCCAATTAAATAAGCTTTGCAGACAGGATCAGAGGCTACTAAAGCAAATGGGTTGTAAAAGGTGCTTAGGGAGCAAGTTATTCACAAGACCGAAGTGTAGCACCATATATTTCACAGAAATGAAACGGAGAAATGTCCTTTAAAATGCAGTGATTGTGACCACCTTAACCAAATGATTAAACTTAGACATCACTAAGAGCAGGATAAGATGGATATTACGCTCTTCCTAATGAGTCTGTATCTAGTACACAATACAACTTATGTAGCTTTTTTTCTTGTTTGCTTTTTCTTTTAGTTGTAGTTTTGTTTTGTTTTCTTTTTTCAATCCTGGGGAGCAAATTCAGGACTTTGCACCCTACTACTGAGTTACATGCCCAGCCCGTGGTTTGCTAAAACAGGATCTATTCTTGCCTATTCCTTTTATGCTAGAAAACATGGTTCTTCTTATACAAACATACAACTCTGATGTTATCTATGAGACAAGTTATGGTTTTACACATTCGCAGTATGTATAAAGCACTGCAAAAATGTGATTTTAGGAGAGACATTTACTTCACCTCACAAGATATATATTAATAAACCATATTTGTGGCCCCTTTATTACTATGTCATATAATAGAGTATCCTCAGTCTAATTCTCCATTAACATAAATAGGACACAGTATTCCTAAACACTGTCTCCTTGAAAATCCATACTATGTTCTATATTGCTCTAAGCCTGCACTTCTCATGAACCAGCAACCTACCCCAAGGACCTCTTAGAAATGCAGATTCTTTTGGCCTTCCACCAGAATTCTAAATGAGAAAACTTTGGGGATAGGGATTGGCTTAGCTCTAGGTTTAATAACCCTCCAAAAGATTCTAGTACACTGAAATGTATAAACCATGCAGGGCTTAGCCAGCTTATTTAAAGGGAACCATGACTTCATTAAGTGCTGAATCCTAACACAAAGAAATGTTTTAAGGCACCAAGGATTTGGCACCAGATGGAATCGAAGTTTACTTATTTCTGAGTTTGCCTACCTCGGCCAGCCACTGGCACCATGGCCTCTGAATGATCTGACAATTCCAAGCTAAAGCCTCTGATTGCAGACAGCATGGAAACAACAATGAAAGAATTATATGAAGAGCAGGTCCGACGATCAGGATTGAGTTTAAATCCACTGGCACAGGCACAGGAAAACATTCCACCTGGTACAGGCAGGCAAATCTGCTGACAAGCATTCGGATTGTTGCTACAGCCATTGGGAGAGTCAGCAGCATCTAAATGAAATCAAAATCAGTCTGTAACTTTTGACCAGTTCAACTCAATGTTTTTAACTAAATCAAATATTTTAATATAAAAATTAATAACAAGCCAGGCATGGTGGCACACACCTGTAGCCCCAGCACTCCGGAAAGCAAAGGCAGGCAGATCTTTGTGAGTTTGAGGCCAGCCTGGTCTGCATAGTGAGTTCCAAGCCAGCCTAGTCTATGTAGTGAGATACTTTTATTTAAAAAAAATTACTAACAAACAAGTAGTAACTGGACCAGCAGCCTAAAAACAATACTGAAAGACAAGTACTTATGCAATACACCTAAAGATTTTCAGAGTATTGGCAGTATTGCGCAGCAGTTAGAAAAATGGAGCATCAATTACTTTTCTTCTATGAAGCATGCAAATTAAGTCAGAAGTCTCTATACTAACTTTTCCTCTCTTAACCCATGCACTGACACTTTATTTATGATGGTTCAATTACATGATCAACAATGTGATAGGTATTTTTTTTCAAACATGAGTATATTTAAAAGCCTTTTTTTATCAAATGTAAGAACAAATACCAAGCGAAAAATAGGAAACAAAGTAATTAAAAATCTCTAGAGATTAAAATCTATAAAATGTCAGTGTGAAAAGAAACCCTCAAAATGATGAAACTAACATAAAAGAGTGAATTGTAAACTAGATTTCCTACAGAGAAAACAGGTTGAGTATTTCGGGTATGACTAAAAATTCATACCTGCTAACCCTTTCTCAGAAGTCATCCAACAAAAGAACTACACATGTCTGAACAGTGCTTCTTGGTGTATGTGTGAATATGTATCACATATATGAAGATGTTTCAATAACATGTACTCACTGCGCCTATGATAAACTCGAAGGCCCCTCAAGCTTGGAATGTTATCTCTCAGGATAACTTTGTTGCTCCCGGAGGACTTGTCAACTCTTTCAATGACTTCATACTGTTCGTCAGTATAGTAAAGGAAGGAACCATGGACTGCAAGTCCCCACGGGTGGGACAGGTGGTGCACCAGGATCATGCGTTCCGTACCATCCACATTTCCTCTCTCGATCTGAAGGACCAGAATTTTCATTATGTCACCGACTCACATTAAATGAAATGAGAGAACATGTTCAAACTAGAATTCTTCTAACAATATACCTCACTTTTCTGTGCTATTCTATCCTTTCTAGAGCTTTCTCATACCTATTGTGAAATTGGTCCATCACAATTAGACTGAGCAGCCAAATATTCTTCAGTGTCTTTCGCTGAGATGGTTAGTTCACTTCTTCATAGAGCAGGGCAAAGAAAAAATGCTAACCTTCTTGCTCACGCACATCATACTCCAGGTAAGGATGCACAGAAATGTGTGAGTATGCACCATCATGTAGAAGCTCACACCCTGGCTTTGACTTCTTCACTTTTAACCAGGATAGGAGACATGTCCCCCAGAACTGCAGGACAGCAAGCTAACTGTGGTGCTATGATATAAAATCAGGTAACCAGCCTTAGTCAAAAAAAAAAAAAAATTTTTTTTTGTCTTTTTGAGACAGGGTCTCCCTGTAGCTCCAGCTGTCCTGGAACTCACTATGTAGACCAGCTGGCCTTGACCTCACAGAGATCCATCCGCATGCCTCTGCCTCCCAAATATTGAGATTAAAGGTGTGTGCCATAACACCCAACTTCAAAATGGTTTTTGTACAATGGAAAATGAACTCACCAGGGGAAAGAGCAAGAAGTCTGTTTCTGAGAGAGAAAAAAATCTAAATGTGGCTGGTTTAATTTTGGTCCCTCTTGGTGCCTTCTTTGCACCAGAATCCAAGCTGGGTAATGGTGAGAGACACAATGAGGTCAGAGTTACTCATTACCTTACTAGACAAGGGAACTCAACAGTTTCAGAAGGCAATGTGCCAGAAACTGACAGAGGTTCCAAAAGCCTACTTGCTAGGCAGGCTCAAAGACTGAGGTTCAATACCCAGAACTATTGATAATGATAATAATACTAATAAATGATGGTAACAACAATAATATCCATCATAGGTGTGAAGCTAGCACCCAGTGAACAGATAAGGAACTGAGAGCAACACCTACTGTGCAGTTTTATGGACAGTACCAGGGTTGGAGATCTGAAATCACTACAGTTTAAAAAGCAAGAAAGGGTCTGAAACATATTCAACATTCAAAACAATTTAACTAATCAGTAGCTATTACTGAGCACTTCCTTTGCCCCAGTTCAGCTGCATAAGAATAGCAAAGGTCAAATGCTGTTTCAATTGAATTTTTAAAAAAATGTCATAGTGCCCTTATTGCTAAACATAATCAACACCTTCATGGCGTTTAAAATTACCAGTAAAGGAAATTTCACATCTGTGTTAATCTTGTTTGGAAATTAAAGAAGAATATATAACTAAGAAGCTGCTGAGCTCAAAAGTTTGCTTTCTCTCTCTCTCTCTCTCTCTCTCTCTCTCTCTCTCTCCCTCTCTGTGTGTCCTTTGCAATTGGAGAATCTAGAGTATTTTCAAAGAAAAACATTGACATCACTAAAACATTGAATAAATATCTATGAAATGACAAGTAAGAAATAACAGAGTTAATTTATTCTGAATAAAAGCCAAAGTTGATGGAAAAAGTAATGAACATCATCCTGTAGGGAACTGTGTACTTTAAGACTACATCAAGGGGGTTGGAGAGATGGTTCAGTGGTTAAGAGAACTGGCTGCTCTTGCAGAGGGCTGGGTTCAATTCCCAGCACCCACATGGCAACTAACAACCATCTATGTAACTGCAGTTCCAGGAGAATCCAATGCCCTCATCTGACCTTTGCAGGCACGGCACTACACGGATGCACTAACACACATGCAGGCAATACACTCATACACACAAAATAAAAATAAATAAAAGGAAAAAAAGTAAAGGCACAGGATGTACAAAATCAATTGAGCATGATCAGTAGTAGTAAAGACCAAAGGTGCTCATACCACGCCCCTGCTGGTGACCGCCCAGTAGAGCTTCTGCTCCTGAATGTCAAGGGTGACAACCTCCAGGTGTTCCAGGTTTCCAGTGAAGAGAATCTTTAAAGATGTGCCATCCATGTTAGCACTTGCAATCTTGGCAGGTACCCCACTGTCTGTCCCCTGGTCTGACCAATATAGTTTCCTACAACCACGAAAAACACAAGTATTTAAGGAAACAGAAGGTGGATTAGGGTAAACAGCATCTATGACTTTAATGGAAAGTGTATTTCTTCAAGATGCTCACAGGCCAAGAGAGGAGTCTGAAACACCAGTATTTTGTTGTATACAATGAGGAGGAGAGCTTAACCACATTTCCCTGTCACTTTGGGCTATGTAGTCGCTAATCTTCATTATCAACTTGATACATCTGGAAAGAGTGTGTGTCTGTGGGACATTTTCTTGATTACTAATTGATATAGGGGGGCCCAGGCCACCGTGGGCAATACCATCCCCTGGCAGGTGGACCTCGGTTGTATATGAAAGGTATGAAGAAACTAGGGGAAGCAAGCCAGGAAGCAGCCTTCCTCCATGGTTTCTGCTTCAAGCTCCTGCCATTGAGGGACTGTAACATGTATGATGAAATAAACTCTTTCTTCCTCAAGTTGCTTTGGTCATGGTGTTTACCACAGCTACAGAAAGCAAACTAGGACAGGCTATATGTCATCTAAACAGATGGTAGAATCTTCCACCTACTCAGCCTTCGAGGCCTATTGCCAATGTCACAACCCCTTGGAGAGTTCCTTGTTCTTTAAAAGTCAGAACTATTGTCCAGTCTTATAATGCTTTGTTTTTCCATTCCTAAAATTATTGCATATGGGAATCAACAAAATACAATCTTTCACATTAAATCTATCTCGGAGTTATTTCTCTTCCTTATTGGGGTCAACATTTTAGAAATGTTGCATCTCAGAAAAGTTTGAAATGTTAACAGAACCCTTCATTTGCCACAGGATCACTCACCCACGTGCAGGATCAACAGTTATGCCAACCGGGAAACCAACACCAAGAGAAGTGCCATCGTTGGTTATCAGCGTTTTCCCATATCTTGTATTTCCCCGAAGCGTCAACACCTACAAAGACAGTTGGGATGCAGGACAAAAGCAGCGAAAGCATGGCCAGTGATGGAAAGAGAGCTATGTGAGATGCCTATAGTCTCCAAAGCACTTCTTTCCCTTCCCTCATCCTCTCTCCCTTCTCTGGAGCTATGAGGAATCAGCTCATTAGAAATGAGAGCTAAAAAAAAAAAAAAATCACTTCCCAAGTTCCTATTTTCAATTCACTTAAAACTTCAGGAGAAGGGGTATGGATGTATGAAAGTCAACATGGATGAATACACGGAATCATTGCCTAGAGGAACTGCAAAAATGCCTCCACAAAAAGACAACCCTAGAGGACAAACTGGAGCCCCAGAGCTTTCCTGTGCCCCAGGAGTGGGATGCCACCCAGTGACAAATCATGCAATCAAGCTGATCAGAGCAGCCCAGATCTTCATAAATAACTGAGGCAAACATCATTATTATGAGTGCATTATGGATAATGAAAGAGGTTTCGGGGACAGTTGGTGACGCACATCTTTAGTCCCAGCACTGGGGAGGGGAGAGGCAGGTGGATCTCTGTAAGATTGAGACCAGCCTGGTCTACATAGCAAGTTCCAAGCCAGCTGGGACTACAGGGAGACCCTGTCTCAAAAAAAAAAGAAAGAAAGAAAAGGAAGACAGAGTGGTTTAGTGCCTTTCTCAGTGTGATCCATTGTGAATTATTGTGTTGGAATCACAGTGTTAACATGTCACACTAGAAATGTCAATTACTGGACTAGCAGTTTTCATGGGAACAATGTGATTTTAATATGTGCCCAAGAAGCCAGGCATGGTGGTACATGCTACTATAACCCAGCACTTCGGAGAGGCTGAAGTAGGAAGATTGCCATGAGTTACTGCTACATAGCAAGTAACGACAGGCCAGCAAGGGCTACACAAATTCTGTATTTTTAAAAAAAAAAAGTACCTGAGACAATCAGAGACAACTAGTAAGAAATTAGGAAATGCGCCGGGCGTGGTGATACACTTGGGAGGTAGAGGCAGGCGGATCTCTGAGTTCAAGGCCAGCCTGATCTACATAGCAAGTTCTAGGTCAGCTGGGCTAAAGGAATTAGGAAATGCATTTAAGATTTTTCTGAAAAATTGGTATTGAATTTAAATAGTGTATTTACATTCATGTCTATGTTTGTGCTTCTCTCCTTTCTCCTCTCTCCCCTCCCTTCCCTCTCAGTCATGTGCAGCTGTGCATGCACACACACACACACACAGTCTTCCACCTTTCCTTAAAGATCTCCTTGGTCACTAAGTTCTTCTTGTTTTCCAATCTCAAACACTCTCACACAGCTACCTGTAGGCTTCACTTTTAAGATACAAAATTGTTTAGTCAGTAGGCACACAGCTACCCCTAGTGGAAAGGAATTTCTTCAACATTTCCTTCCATTTTCAACTTATCCATGCTGGAATCATATAGATAACCAAGACAGAAATATTATTACCACTTTCTTTCAATTTATCAGGAAGAACTGTTACATTACCTAAGGGATTAAACTAATATAAATATTAAAATGGCCATTCACCCCTTGGGTCATTTGTCTCCTTTAGTCTTTTATGAATATTGAAATATATAATAATTCTATAGCTAAATATATAATATTTGTAATACAATGATAAGTTAAGGAAAACAGCACCATGTTTCATAAGATACTTAAGTGCTGTAAAGCACTTTGACTTACCAAGCTATGAACCCCATTTAACAGATAAGGAAGTGGAGGCTCAGAGAGGTTAAATCATTTGTCCAAGGTCAAATACCTCATGAAGAGTGGAAACAGTGCTGTCCCTATTCATAAAATGCATCGTTTTAAAATTGTCAGGATGTTTGTCCTTCTGCCTGGGACACCTTTTCCCTGCTTCTTCATTTGGTAGAAATAAACATTGGTCATCCTTCAAGTCAGTTCAAAAAGCCCACTGTACTTTTTCCCTGTGTTCACACTGCTCTTTTTCCCTGTGCTCACACACTAGAGAAAAATTACTGGTTTATGTTTTGCTCACCTTTGAATATTTGGAATCAACCATGAGATGATCCATAGAGAACATTTGTTGAATTAATAAAAATGAGCAAGATGGACACAAAGCCAGGCTTTGTCAGATACCTTCCACTGTATTACTCTGCACTGGAGGCACAGTGACAAACGGCATTTGACATGCACACATGCACACTTGGCTATTCTCCAACACACTGTTTTTCATTGTACCTGGCAGTGCTAGATACCTGCTTGCTGCCTTTGGAAAACTCCAGTTTGAAAGTGAGAGACCAAGAGACAGAATGAGGGCGCTCATGCGTCTTGGTCGGCCATAGGACTCTCCGGCAGCACATTTTGCCCATTTTTGTTGGACAAAACTTGTAGCTCAGATTATGAAAAAGGTCCACCATTGTCAAATGGAGTTAGAAAGGTCTAGATTTTTGGACTCAAAACATTGAACCAGACAAACCTCCAGGATTCCTTTCACCTTAACACCTGTCGGTTCTACCTGCTTCCAGGCATCCCATTTGTGTATATTGCAAATTTCCCACTCTCTGCAAATGGCTACTACACCCAACAACCCTCGGAGATTTTGTGGGGATGAGACCAGATACTGTGTGGAGGATCTTCATACGCTATGAAGCAGTGTTTCAGTGTGGCCTCCTGCAGGATCTGTCAACAGACTGCTGTGCACATTCCGCATCACCAACATGTGTTATCATATGCTCCAAAAAGCAGCCAACTGATCAGCTATGTGCCAGAGCAGAAGATTGTTACTCTATGGGGCCCTGCTGACTGTCTGTCTCACAAAACCCTCCCTTCAAAAGCAGCATGAGCTAATAATCCTATGCTTTGTCCTTGCCCCAGACTGGAGAAAGCCAATGCTATTAGAGTTGCTTTGACTTTACCTCATGTGATTTCAACCTTGCATCCCATCTAGAATTTCTTTTGGGAAAAGGAATATAAAGAATACTTATCTCAAAGAGTATTGAAGGAATTAGAGTCAAGTTTCTACTTTCTGTTTCACTGCTAGGAAAACTGTACTGGAGCCATTCAGCAATTCTTATCTGAGAACTGGAGCTAACAAGTTGATCACTGAAATGGAATTTCTAACATTGTTTTAATTTACTTTCTTGCATATCATTTTGTAAATTAACCAATATCCTTTATAAGAGCAAAGTCAAGTTGATAATTTGTTGGAAACAACACAGAATAGTAGAAAGTTCTGCCAATTTTTAAAGTGGTTTTCCTCACCTTCAGCAACTTTGATAGATAATACTAAAATCTTTCCTCATTTTCTTCTCATTTTTCCCCCCTTGGGAAGAGGAGCTACTGATGTCTTTTTTCATTATTTGTTTTGTTGGTGCTTTAGGTTGGGTTTGGGAGGGTTGAGACAAGGTCTCGCTATGTAGCCCACACTGGCCTTGAACTCATGACAATCTTCCTGCCTCAGCCTCCCCAGTGCTGAGATTACAGGAGTGAGCCACCATGCCTAGCTGTTTCAAAAGCCATGATGTATTTTTGGAGAATAGATTTTATCTGAATCTAGAACCATGTCTGTGTAAACATTATTATGGAAGCATTACCTCGATGGACTGACTTGCAGGAGTGGTATAATATATGTTTCTTGACACCCAATCTAGTGCCAGGCTCAGTGAAGACCCCAGCAGAGACAGAGGTGCAAACACTGTCCTGTTGGTGCCATCTGTCTTCACTCTGTGGATTTCACCCTGGGAAGAAATACAGGAGAGGTGAGCTGACTTGAGGCAGGGACACAGCTCCTACATAGAAGCCTCTTCCTTTCACTACTGCCACTGGCAGCTGTTGTGTTTCCTAATGCTCCTCACACATGGGAAGAAGCAAGCAAAGTTCATTGCTTGAACACTTAAGAGAAAAGCTCATGATACAGAGTCAAAAAAAATTAGAAAAATACAGTGGATCAAAAGCCAGGACTATATTTTGCATAAGGCAGACACCATCAAACAAAGCTCTCCTCCTCTGTTCTATTCTCCTGGTCTTTTCCTCATTCTGGCAGTTTGCTTCCATGAGGAACAAAGCAGAAGGAGTTCTGGAAGCAAAAATTCTAACCAAAGGCCCGAGCTCTAGCCAAGGCTTTCCTGGAATTTCCTCAGAGAACTGTGGCTTTGTCTTAAGTTAGGATCATACGCATTGAATGTTATTCAGAACTTACTGGATTCTCAACCCAATAGATGAATTGCTCTGAGTCATCAAATTCAACATCAAAACCATTCTGAATCCCTGCTATAGGAACCATAGCATCATTGCTCTTCTCCGCAGGATCGAGGGAGATTCCAAAAATTAGATGGTTTCTTACACTCATCAAGAAAGCCTGATCACCTGTGAAAACAGTAGCAGTCAAAATGGATTGTCACTATCCCATGAGCTAAAATAGTATCACAGCAGCAATAACTGTAATGTATAATAGATATGCCATAATTACAGGCCTCCCACAGGAACCTCCACTTCCATATAAGATGCTTTCTGCACGTTTCCAGGAGAAAAGAGTATTTACTTTACTCTTCATTAATTCATTATTTGCACTGACAAACCATCAACATTTGATAAACTTACGCTGGAAAGTTCTGTTCCTACCCACAGACAACCCTAATACTGAACAACTTTGGAAGAGTTGGTTTGTAGAGAAGGGGAAGAAATAAAGTGAAAGAAAATTTGATTTATTCTTACTGAATGGCAACTTGTTGATTGTAAGAATGTTCAGAATATAAAACACTATAAAATGCCTAGTACATATCATAGATTTTAATTAAATCTAATTTATAATCTCATTTGTTATTTAGCCAATTTCTGCCTTCCTCACTAGTTTCCAAAGAAGAGTGATTGTAATTAGTTTTCTACTATTGTACCTCCAGAATATGGCAGAAAGCCTGGAATAAAATATTTTGAATAAATATTTGGAGTTGGGGCTAAAGAAGTAGCAAAGACACTTTGTGCTTGCTTTGTGACCATGAGGCCCTGAGTTCAATTTCTATGACTGTACTCAATAAATATCTAGTCAGTAATGACCACGTGACAGAATGGATGAATATACAGGGTCTCCAAAAGTTCCCCAGAATACCTAACTACACCTGAAAAACTCCCCATTATATTTCAACTAAACACTTATTCAAAAACTGATTTTTTTGCATTTTTACTAATTTATTAGAGTGAGGGAGCACATGCCAGGTGTGCAGCTTGTCTAAGTCAGAGGAGTCAGTTCTCTCCTTCAATCATATAGGTCCCGGGGTTCCAACACAGGCTGTCAGGCTCGGCAGCCATCTTACTTCCCATAAAAAGTGTAGCCCCCATGTCTCCATCTCCTGTTTAAAATGCCTGGAAGATGGGCTGGAGTTTCTAGGCAAGCACTCTTCCCCACAGGAACAACTCCAAAGACTGATTATAAGGCTAATATTAGATGATATCTATGTTTTCAAGGTAACAGTATCAACCTTTGTGTGGTGAAAGAATGCTTTGTATCTAAAATGTCTAAGCTCAAATTAATGTTTTTCTGAAAGAAACAATGTCAACAAGGATTAGACATGTAATAAGTCTCTGAAGAAAATGGCAAATGCCAATCTATTTTGTAAGTATTACCAATAATCAAAACCTTCCATCATGAAAGCATCATTGCACAATGCAATAAATCCTGATGGGGTTTGATCTTCAGCAGCCTCAACTGCAAAGACTATAAACACTACAAACTTCCTACATTCACAATATATTTTCCATTTGAAAAATGCTATCCTTAACCATCTAGTATCAATTTGCCTACAGCAAATTTTTATTAGCATCAAACACATTAACTCCACTGAGAAATGAGCAACTTTTTACATTCCTAAGCAATTGAAATTGATTTTGAAAGAGTTATAGCCATGCACACACTCCTAAAGAAATCTCTTCTCAGCCAGGAACAGTGGCACATGCCTTTAATCCCCACACTTGGGAGGCAGAGGCCGGCAGATCTCTGTGAGATCAAAGCCAATCTGGTCTCCACAGCCAGTTCCAGGCCAGCTATGGCTCCAGAGCATGGGCTGCAAAGTGAGCTTGAGGCTAGCCTAGAAAAAAAAAAAAAAAAAAAAAAAAAAAAAAAAAAAAAAAAAAAAAGAAATCTCTTTTGTATTCTCCAAAGTACTTGACAATAACCTTCCACATATTATTCACTCATAGACATACCTCTAGGTGAAGATTAAGTTGCTCAAATAGTCACTTTTAATATTTCTCACAGAGAAAGCTCTTATTTTTAAGCTATCAGACAATAATATTAATGACACAGACCACTCACCATTAGACCTGGAATATACACAAATGTGAAGAATTTCTACCTGTAAGTGCAGACTTTGAAACTCCTCGTTATCATCACTTGTCAGAAAAGTCAGGTGCAAGACAATTTGAGGTTCAGTCACATGCACAGGTAACAATAGCCCCATACACAGAAACTAGATACAACTGAGGTGCTTAATTAAATCACCCCACCAAGGATACACTCCATAAACACTTGCTGAAGATAATGGAACATGCCATGCTCACTCACAGATGGGTTGAGAGTTTCCACAGCCTCCCACAATTATGACAAGTTCGATCATCAGAGCATACCATACCTTTCACACAATTGACAGAATCATGAGAGAGGTTCCATCCAGAAGGACAAGCACAGGAATACCGCTGAGGCCCCCGTGCAGAGAGCAGGCAGAGGTGGCTACACGCGGCAGAGGCACATGGATTCGGGGCTGTGGGAGAAAGGGCAAATTGCATCCATAAATGGAAAATCTCCCCCAGTACAGTACATGGGGTCCTAATCCTCCCCTGAGCTTTGTGTTTGTAATACTTTGTTACCTTTATTAAGAAGCACAAGAGAAAGGCATGATTCACTCAAGGACGTCAATCAATCCAGTCTATAACCCAATTATGACCAGCCGCTGAGTTATCTAGAACTTACTAGTAAAAATATAACATCTCCTCGTCTGATCTAAAAGCTATCTTTCTGCATTATCATGCAACCGTGATGTTTATCTAGTGGTGTTCAAGTTTTGTTTAGATAACAATCTATTTTTCTACATTTTGGTATATCTCTGTTCCTTAAAAAGAGGGGCTCTGTGTATCACCCTAGGCTCAAAGGATGTTTCTAGAGACTGTTTCTTCTTGCCAGGTGAGATAATTAATCCATTCATTCCCTCACACACACAAGTAAGTTAAGCATTCACTAGATAACCAAACCCCATGCTAAGCTCTGAGAGACCACAAACATGGAGCATCCATTCTAGAAAAGAGGTGAGACTAAATTAATGCACATAGAAAGGTTTTAAGAATGTGAGGATATGAGTGAAGAGGACTTTAAGAATGTGAAGATAGCCAGGCATGGTGGCACAGGCCTATAATCCCAGCACTTGGGAGACAGAGGCAGAGTTCAAGGCCAGCCTGGTCTACATGGTGAGTTCCAGGCCAGCTGGGGCTAGAGGGAGACCCTATCTCAAAAACACCAAAAAAAATTTTAAAAAGTGAGAGCATATTGTGGGGTATTTCAGGTAGGATGGTTGAGGACAGCCTCTCTTTGAAAAGAATCCTAAATAACATGAAGTAATTTCTTTTCTTTTTTTTTTTGGTCTTTTTGAGACAGGGTCTCCCTGCAGCCCCAGCTGTCCTGGAACTCACTATGTAGACCAGGCTGGCCTTGAACTCACAGAGATCCTAGAGACAGAAAACAGGTATTCAAGAAAGAGCAAAAAATTAGTACAAAAGTTCAAAGCTGAGATCTCGCATGGTGTGCCTCTGGACCATAATATAGTCCTGTGTGATGAGCATACTCGACGGGGAGAAGAGGCTGTGTAAGAGGCTGGGAAAGGAAGAGAGCCAGACTCCGAGTGTAAGAAACCACTCGAGAGATTTGAGGAGAGAAGATTATGCAAAATTTTCTCAATCTCAACAGAACGATCCCCACCAAGGCCAAATCTTACAACGTCTGTCCACCCATACACCATGTATGAAGGTGATTAGGGGTGGTCATAGTGGAGTACCTACAAGGCAGTGGTACCATACATAATATGAGACCCAACACCAGGAAGCAGGGATAAAGATCAATGGTGCTATCTGGTTTATATCTATAAAAGGTCACAGAAGTAGTAGCTAATTGCTGATGTGCTGTTGTTGTCTACAAGGTCTGCTTTTCCTATGGTAAATAAAAGCAAGAACAATGCAAGGGCTGGGGAAAGTAGGAGCAGGGTGGACAGTGAAAAAGAAAAACACATTACCCAATGCTAATGAGCTGGGCATGTGCACTTAGCATGCCCAGAAGAAATCCCAGGCAGGCTGCTTCTGGGTCATCACTTACCAGATGGCTGCCTTGAACGATGAACAGCAACGATCCCAAGAGGCCGGCGAACATTATACATTACAACTGTCTGGTTCCCCCCATGCCATTTGTTGGCCTGCATAACCTGAAGAGTACCACGGTCAGTCCAGTACACAGATTCTTCAAACAGAGTCAAGGCATGGGGATGACGCAGAACCTGAGAAGCAGAATCAGATGGTGAGACCTGACCCAGAAATGGAAGCTAGGGTGAATGAGGTAAAAGAGTCATCTAGTCAAGTAGATGGTTTTCTTCATAAAGATGAGAAGTAACTATGAAAGGGAGAAGCTATATGTTGTCCTGAATCCCACAAGACCACTTAAAATAATCTCACATCCAAGTGTCTACTCAGAGAAGGACACTGAGCATTCTTTTTTTTTTAAAGACAGGTTTCCCTGTAGCCCCAGCTGGCCTGGCACTCACTATGTAGACCAGGCTGGCCTCAATCTCACAGAGATCCACGTGCCTTTGCCTGCGCTGGAACTAAAGGCCAGCACTGCCACACCCAGCTTAGGTATTCATTTTTAAACAGAAAATTAAACATGCTCAGAAAGCCAAGGGTTCCATCTGAATCACTAAGTCAGAGGTAAGATATAACTAGATAATCTAGTTAGAGCTTCCTTGGGATCTATTGCCAAGCCTAGCCTCCAGACCTTCTCATCCCTGCTCCTCCAAGGCTGCTTTTGCCAGTTGATTTGTTATGGCTTAGGTATATATCACCTAAAGACCGGGAAGCTCCTCTTGGGGCTTCTTCATATCATAGTAACTAAGCTATGGACATCTTAAAATCAATAACAGCTCTCTGGTAAACTATGCATTTTTTCTGCATTAACAAACTTGTAAAAATTCAACAGAATTCATTGAATAAAAATATGAAATACTTTATTAAGTATTTGACTGATTTCACTGAGAAATATACATCTACCTTATTCATTTTATCAAGCCTGATTTTTCAAGGTATAGAAGCAAAAGACTAGTATCTACAGATCACTTAAATCACATCAGCGATTGTCTTTCTGGACATGACACAATTTGACCATGACTGGATTAAAGTATTTCTTCTCCTGTTAGTAACAGAGGATGGATTACACCATTATTCCTTGTATTGGCCTAATAATACATAGACCCAGAATTAATGTCTTAGGTTTGTTTTGTTTGTTGTTGTTGTTGTTGTTGTTTTTGAGACAGGGTCTCCCTGTTGCCCAAGGGGGCCTGAAACTCACTATATCAACCAGGCCCTAGTTCTTTTTAAGAAAATCATCACTATGGATATTCATTTTCAGTTTTCTACTTGCCTACCACTGTAGTTTAAATTTAGTCTTTATTATCAACTTACCAAATCACTAGCAATCACCTGCCTCCTATGGTGCCCATCATAATCACAAAAATCGATGTAATCCAGATAGGCATCCATGAAGTAGACCAGTCGGTTGGGGTAATCAATAGTTAAACCACAGGGCCAGTAGATCTTGTCTTGAACAATGACTGTCCGCAAAGTGCCATCCATGCTAGCTCGCTCAATGCGAGGGTGATGGCCCCAGTCAGACCAGAACATTAGATGGTCACTAGGAAAAGAGGGACATACAACAACAGGAATGGTAACTGCCACTAAACGTAATGCAATATCCTGGGCTTATTATTTCCTTTGAAAAAACTGTTATCATAATGCAACCATCTGGATATTTGTATCATGTTCATAAAACGTGGTACATTATGACATGGAAATGTCTCGACACCATTCATGCTATTGAAGAACTCACAAACAGGTGATATACAGAAATCCATCTGCCTTTGTTTGTCTACCCTGTCATGTTTTAAACAGTGAATTGATTTATCCCTCTTCAGAGATTTATCATAAATTTCATGGGTATGTAATAATGCACAATGCCTAGGAAGTCAGCATCATACTGAAAATAAACTAGCTTACCATCCTGAAGAAAACAATCTAAGTCACAGAATCTACATAAAACCCAGGAAGGATTTTTCAAAGGTTTTGAAACACATGGGAAACCAGCAGGAAAATTTTTCTTCCTTATACAACTTAAAAAGTATCTCTAGAAAATAGCATGAAACTGAAGCAGAAATAGGTAACCATGAGGCATCACAGCTATGTGACCCATCTATAGGATGTGGCCCACATACAGGATGTTACTACATGTATTAATTGAAACTTAACCATTTAATACTTGCATGACTAAACTAATAAGAGTCTTACCTCATTCTGGGATCCAACACTAATCCCCTTGGGTTAGTTATGTTTTTGCTAATCAACACTGTTCTATGGCTTCCATCAATTTTAGAGACTTCAATTGTTTCCAGAGCATAGTCTGTCCAGTAAAGATTGCGACCTATCCAATCTACGGCAATAGTTTCTGTCACAGAGACACCACTCTCATGTACCTACAGATGAAAGAGAATAAAAGAGAGGGAAAAAAATTAAGGCAAACATGGAAATTATATGAAACTCTGAAAAAGGAATCTAACTTGGGATTAGAAAGGTTCAACTTTCCATGAACCAACAGTAATATTTTACTTTCCAGTAAACCAACAGTAATATTTTCAGGGGACAATATATAGGATTTCAAAACATTAAACTGAGAACTATGAGTGAATTAATGAGTAGTTTCATTTTGATTTCAAAAGTTTCACTTACCCAAGAGGTCCACCCATGTGCTAAGTTGGCAACCTCATAAAACTTACAATATTCATTAGCTGAGGAGCATCTTTATGAAGTGCCAACAACAATGAACTCAAGTTCTACAGGGCAAAGGAGGCATTACAATCAAAGATCAAGAAACACACTCAGGGAAATGGGTCAAATAAAATCAAGTTAAACAACATCTGGACTCTCCTTCACTTTGCTGTATGAAAGCACAAGTCTCAGTGTCATGTGACATGGAATTGCGAATCAGGAATAGGCCTTCAGAGACTACACTTGCAATCAAAACAGCCACAGGTAGGGAGTCCTGAAGGGGCAAGGGAGGTAGGGTCATCTCTATCTGAGGAATAACAACAAATAGTCTCAGGGCAGGGGAGCTGAAAGTCTGCAGAAATGCATACTTACTATTCTCTTGTCTGTTCCATTTTGAAAGGCACTCCAGGTTTTACCCTGATTTAAGTCAGACCAAAAGACACGACCAGTAACTGAATCAAAGTCAAGAGCTACAACATAAGAAGCATCTTGGACCAGTGAAAAGATACTGTGGATCTGGGAAGTGATATTGTCTGCAATAATCTTGTCCTGACTTGCTACAAGTAACAGTAGATTTTCAGACGCTGTCCAAAAAAAAAAAAAAAGGCAAAACTGTCAATGATCTTTAAAGAAAAAAACACTTACAGGGTCTGTTCAATAATATCTAATGCAATACTTTTGGTAACAGAGCATGATTCCAAACTATAGGAATGGGGGAGTAAGACCACAAGAATTAATGATTTCATTCTTAATTCTATTAGCTGATATTCATTAACAAGTAAAATGGATGTTTTCTGAAATCTCTTTCTTCCTTGAATTCTTTCAGTGTGCACCTAGGTATCAATGTGAAACAAGTTATACTTACATTCTTCCTTGTGCTGCTTTTATCATTGTACTTTGCTATCTACTTTAGCAGAGTGTAAGCTTTTCCTTAGCAGAAAGCAAGCCTTAAGTATTTTTATTTTCCCAAAGCTTTTGATTGTAGTAGAGTTCTAACTGTCTGCTAATATTCCTTTTCCCCTTTTCTTTTTAGTAATAAGACACACTACATTTTAGCTTGACCCAAGGCCACTCAGATAGAGACAGCTATAGTGAGCAAATGACTGAGTTCTGACCAAGAGTAAAGTGGTATATCCACTTCCAGGTTACACTTTTTTTTTTAATATTTTATTTATTATTTTTATTTTATGTGTAGAGTGTACTGGCTGCATGTACGTGAGTGGACCCATGTCATGCAATGCCTCGGAGATCAGAAGAGGGCTTCAGATTCTCCTGGAACTAGAATAAAGGACGGTTCGTAGCTGCTATGTGGGTGGTGGGAATCGAACCCAGGTCCTCTGCAAGAGCAGTCAGTACTCTTAACCACTGAGCCATCTCTCCAGGCCCCCAGGTTACACTCTTAAAAGAAAGAAGCTTGCCCTATAGTTTCTCTTCCTAGCCTACTTTCTAAGAGAAGGGAAAAGACTGAAGCAAAATTATTGGATCTTGAATGGAAACCACATGACAATAACAACCTGTCTATCCTCTGATTCGCTATCATCCAGCTTCCTACTTGAAAAGAAAGGTTCTTTTACAACAGTATTTTTTGAGTCAGGGTCTCATCTAGTCCAGGTAGCCTTGAATTCACTATGTAGCCCAGGCTGCCCTAATCCTTCTGACTCCATGGCCCAAGTGCTGGAATTACAGGCATGTGCCACTATGTCCTACAAGAAAGGAACTTTTTGTTTTATCCTCTACTTAGTCACTTTGAAAGAAGCTGGATCAATATTCTAATACCTAGTATAATCACTTCATATAGTAGCAACTGAATTAATATTCATTAAATTTAATTCATTAAGCCTTACATAAAGATGACTAAATGCAATGTAGAAATCATTTTTTAAATTATCTAACCTCATCTAATGTTACGTTAAGTAATAAAAAACATCATCTTCTATTTTATAAAATACCTTAAGATCTTTGGGGTCAAAAGACATTACATAACCTGTCTAGGAGTCTAGTCAGGATGACCTCTAATCAATCTTGACAAATTATTAAGCTCTGAAAGATATCGTTAAATTGGCCAGAGTTAGTTTACTTTTTAAGTTTAATAATTACCTGTGACTTTGCAAGTCCTTCCATCAGGTTCTAATATGTAGCCTGCATCACAAGCACACCGGAAAGAACCTCTCATATTGAAACAGTGCTGGCTACAAAAGCCTGGAATATCACATTCATTTATATCTTCACAGGTCTTAGTGTCATTGGCAAGTTGGTATCCTGATGGGCATACGCATTTAGCCCCAAAGGGCCCTTGAATACAATTGTGAGTGCAACCACCATTCAAATGTAAGCAGCTGTCCTGGTCTAGAATAAAGAGAATCACAAAAGGAAGAAGTCAACAATCCTTGCTTCTTTGATAGATTCTGATGTAGTCCCATGCCATCTTTAATGTGAGGTCCAGACAAGAGCTAAGAGCCAATCAAGTAAATGAGCTCCACAGGCTGCTCAGTGTGTGCTGAGTTTTCTGAGGATCTACTGTCCATTGGACTTGGACCACCATTTTCACTACAACCCTCCAGTATAACTCCATTTAGTGCTATGAGAGAACCTTGGGAAAACATTGCTGACACCAAGAAACCAAATTGTCATTGATAAAGCATACAGAAGAAATTGAACTTGCTCCCTCTAAAATTCTTCTACCCTAACTAGAAATGATAGGATTTAAATGTTTCAGAGAGAAGCTTGGACATGACTAAGTAGAAAGGTAAATGGAACACTAGAGGACACAGATTTGCTAACAGTTCACATGCCTGGGTATGCAAACACCCTCTATTGCCATGAGCATCCTAATATGCAGATAAAAGTCCTAACACGGAACATGCACTAGATGGGGAAGTCACAGCAATTAGGACAATTTGAACACAAACATGACACATGTGAAATCATGAGTCTAAAGTATTTCACAGTCATACCTTGCTGTAGTTCATCTGAGAGTGAGCATTAATTAAAAAGGAAAGAAAGGACAGTAATTAGAATCACATGCTAATCACAGCATTTTAAGCACAGCAAAAACACAAATCCCCAGATTTCATGTTTTATGGCAAGTTCTGATTGAAATTAGAAAATCTTCAAGTTAGAAAAGTTTATGAGCACATTACCAGAGTCATATTTAATTCCACAACCTAATGGCCAGTGACAAAAAAAAAAAAAAAAAGGAAAAAAAAAAAAAACACATACTTGACAACAAAAGCATTTAATGAGAAATATTATCTAGTCATGATTTATTTGAATTTACTTATCCCCTACACAGGTTTGAAGTCATGTAGGAACTCAAACCCTTTGCCCCCAAAGCTATGGAGAGACTGGGACAGTGGTGAGACACACCCAGACTACTGTTCAGAATGAACTGTTGGCCAGTAAACTATGATCAAGAAACTTACTGCAAAGTGGGGACTCATCAGTCCCATTTGGACAATCAAAGATTCCATCACATAGTGCACTTAGATTGACACAGATGCCGTAGCCCGGGCACTGCCACTGCCAACTGGGACACCGGAAGGGCTGCGTAGGGCAGTTCCTCTCATCGCTCATATCTCTGCAGTCATTGTCCCCATCACAGAGCCAGTTTTTGTAGATGCAGTTTCCATTGTCACAGAGGAAATGAGATGAAGAACAGGTCTTGGAGACACAGCCATGGTGCTCATCAGATCCATCGATACAGTCTGGATGCCCATCACACTCCCAAGTGTTGGGGAGGCAGGTACCATCTCCTTGGCACTGAAATTCATCTGAGTGGCACATACCAGGAGGCCTGGTAGCTAGGAGAAAAGGATGTGTACAATGCACTTGAGGTTGCAATTTGTAATCCTTTTTGTGGTCTAGATTCAGAAGGAATTGTCTAAGACAGAGCTAACATCAAAGGCTAAAGTGATAAGTCTTTTTGCATACTGTGGTACATAGAAATATTTATGTGAGATTAGTGGATCTAACAACAAACTAGGCACAGGTTACATAAAATACAAGTACCTGAGTCAGACTCCTGCATTTCTAATGCTTATTCAACCGCAGTTTCAGTAACAGTATTTATCTATGTCTCTACTAAAGAATCACCATAGATTTTCAATAGAGATTAAATAGCTTCGGGTATACTCAGCTTTGTGCATTTAATGTCATTACATTATGATTTTTCCTCAAATAAGCCATATTCAATGTAACCACCACACATTAACTAAAACTAAAGGCAAATACTTTGTAAATTTTGTGCTATTTATCAAGAAATCCGGGAGAAATGTCTTCCCTATTTCACAGGCTCATGCCTGGAGACCTCTGAGACAGCAAATCGGTAGTAATCAGCAGTTCACTGAGAACAAAGATTGCAGCTTGCCAGGTGAAAGAAGATTTATGTAAATGAAGGTATATAGTGGGGGGGGGTATTTTGGTTTGGGGTTTTTTTGGGGTTTTTTTTCCGGTCTTTGAGACAGGGTCTCCCTGTAGCCCCAGCTGACCTGGAACTCACTATGTAGACCAGGCTGGCCTTAACCTCACAGAGCTCCGCCCACCTCTGCCTCCCAGTGCTGGGATTAAAGGTATTGCCCCCCCAATTCCCAGCATTTTTATAGTCTTTTTTTTAACCTTCTTCTTTTTTTTTTTTTTTTTGGTCTTTTTGAGACAGGGTCTCCCTGTAGCCCCAGCTGACCTGGAACTCACTATGTAGACCAGGCTGGCCTTAACCTCACAGAGCTCCGCCCACCTCTGCCTCCCAGTGCTGGGATTAAAGGTATGCGCCCACCAATGCCCAGCATGTTTATAGTCTTTTATTTAACCTTCTTCTTTTTTTTTTTTTTTTTGGTCTTTTTGAGACAGGGTCTCCCTGTAGCCCCAGCTGTCCTGGAACTCACTATGTAGACCAGGCTGGTCTTGAACTCACAGAGATCCACCTGCCTCTGCCTCCCAAGTGCTATACTTCCAAAACACTACTGTCTAAACAAATGTTTAAAGGGTTTAAAGGTTTTTTTTTTTGTTTGTTTGCTTGCTTTCAAATCTAAAATCCAGTTAACAAACAGTAGAGAGAAAAATCATGTCATCCTAGGTCCCTAACCTGTGATCCATCAGATTTACAAATCCTTGAATCCTGGGATTAGAAGGAATTTATTTCCTCTAAACCTCCACAGAAGCTAGCTTATCTATGACATTTGAGGCCCTTGTGACATTTTAAGAGATGTTTAACCTACCTATGAGACTATTTGAAGTGCTCTTGACTTCTAGATTACAAATAATTAGTTGGTAATTAATATCTATATAATCTATATGTTATTGCAGACTCATTGTATTCTCTCTCTCTCTCTCTCTCTTTTTTTTTTTTTGGTCTTTTTGGTCTTTTTGAGACAGGGTCTCCCTGTACCCTCATCTGGCCTGGAACTCGCTTTGCAGATCAGGCTGGCACTACCACACCCGGCTGCATTCTCTTAATACTATGTCTTTGTCTGACTTAGAAAAGCTACACAGTAATATACTAGCAAAAAGTAAAAGGATTCCATGTCTGAAATATGCTGCATTTGTGGTACTTACAACAGCCCGCCTCATCAGAGTTGTCCTTGCAATCAGAAACACCATCACAACGGTATCTGTTGTTAATGCATGCACTCCCATCAGCACATTTGAATTGAAAAGATGTGCAGTTAAATACTAGAACAAAAAACATTTGAGTTTAGTTCAAAGATAAAATGACTACACATTGAGATTTTTATAACTGTCAATGAAAAAATAAAGCAATCCACTTACCACAGCCTGTCTCATCAGATCCATCAACACAGTCTTTGTCCCCATCACAGACATAAGATGGGTCAATACAGCGATGGTCAGGGCAACGAAATTGAGTAGACTGGCATGTCTGTGAAGTTCCTAATGCCATTCAAAAACAAAGCCAAGTAAGTGTATTTCCTGTTCAATGGGTAACAGAGCAAAGAGAAAACATTTCCAATGTGCTACCTAAGTTATCTCAGTTTTTGTGTGTTCAAACTCACAAGATCAGCCAAATAAGAGAACTCAAAATTGGGGAAGGTTATGGAATCAAAAGACTACAGGGCAGAGTCACCTGAGATTAAACCTTGGAAAACAGAAGACATTAAACAAGAAAACACCGTGTGCCTAGCCTAACATGCATTCTGAGTACCATGACTCTACCAAAGTTGAGCAGAGCTGTGCTAGGCAACATGGCTAGCCTACCCATATAGCTAATAACAATGTCAACATAGAATCATGCTAAAAATCAGGGATCTACCTTGCTGTTAATGTATAGCTTTAGAATCAGGCATGCGGGATGCCCCCATTCAGTCCATGAAATGACAGAAAACACAGATTCATAGAATGCAAAAACTAGATGGGAATTTAAAGCTCACCTACTCCAAGAGGAAAGTGTCTTGCCTAGTCCCGCAACCAGTACAAGGATCTAGTTAAGAGAATTCTGCTCCATTTTAAACTAGTATTGCAGTCATGAAAGTAAGCAACATGAAAGAATGAAAACGAGCAATGTGAAAGGATGAAAAGGAAAATCAACAGTCAAATATCTAGATGTTTATAATGCATTATCTTAATTTTTTAATACCTAAAGAGTTGAACTTTTTTTCATGTGTATTATATGTGGGGTGGGGTGTGTGTGTGCATGTTTATATGTGTTGGGGCACACATGTGTGTGAATGTGCACGTGTGTACTCATGCACATGAAGGGCAGAGAATGATGTCAGGTGTCTTCTTCCATCTCTATTTATTGAGGCAGAGTCTCTAGCCTCCTTACATAGCTGAGACTACAGATGTGCACAACCACATCCAGTTCCTGTCTGGATATCTGGCTTAAGAGATAGTCCCTGTTTTGCTTCCATAAAGCTCAATACTATGTAGCCTTGGCTAGCCTGGAACTCACAATGTAGACCAGGCTGGCCTCAAACTCACAGATCTGCCTGCCTTTGCCTCTGCTGGTATTAAATGCCTACAACACCACACGCAGCATAAGCCCAATACTTTTAAGAAAAGTCTAAGGATCCAACATGTAGGCTTGAGCCTTTGTTCTTAGAGACTGATAGAGAGGTTGACAGGAAGAATAGCAGTCCCTAATACACAGCCATAATTGTTGGAGTCAAGAATTCAAAGCCTATTGATTATTCTAATGTATGTACTAAAATGACTAACCCAGAGAAACCAGTTCAAACTCACCACAGTTCTTTTCATCCGATCCATCGCTACAATCATTGTCTGTGTCACAGACCCAGTTTAAGGGGACACACATGTGATTGTCACAGGTGAAGTAGGCCTGCGGGCAGGTGGAAGGAGCTCTGGTGGGGCAGTTTTGCTCATCACTGCCATCTAGACAGTCATTCTGCTTGTCACAGCGCCACTGGTCAGGGATGCACTGTCCTCCATGGACACAAGTGAATGCCGAAGGTGAACAAGAATTATCTATAAATAGCCACAAAGTGATCATGAAACTTTTGATTTTACAGATTTTTATGAATTCTAGCCTATAGTAGCCAAGCTCTTTCCTTCTTTCAATAGAGCATTACACCAAATACTGAGAGATGTGCACGTGGTGCTCTCCCACATCAAGCTGAGATTTGGGTTGTTATGCACTTTTCCAAGTGCATATACTATGTATGCTACATATATATTTAGCATTATGCATGCATATATCAAGTACATACACATATACATTTTCTTAATCCTCACAATACTGTGATGTACATATAATTATCTAAAACCCAGGCTTTGAGAGATGTGGGAATCTTTGCAAGAGTTAAGCTCTAGTTGGTGTAAAAACAAAATGATAAATGGTTTAGAAATTTCAGTAAAATATACAAATGGGCCCTATTATTTTTCAAATCAACCACTCTTCTTTCTCTGTTATTATCATTAGTCTCACTTTAATAGAAATTATTTTAGTTCTCAACTATAGTCTATATTTTTAAAAAACTTTAATTGGAGACTTGGGCTTCTGCAATATTCCTAGAACTTCATGGACTATGCACATGGAGACTCATTTCAGCCCAATTCAGCCCAGTTTTTGACTCCAAAAATGGGAAGAAATATACACGTAAGGTTTTCAAAGGCGGGGATTACAATTCCTTAACCTGTGATGCTCTTCTTTCAGATGCTAAAAGCTATATCCAGTTGAACCCAGGGCCTTATGCATGCTAAGCAATTTCACTATGACCCAGCCACATCCTCAACCCTAATTGAACTTTCTGAGGAACTTATCAAAATGTGACAACTCTATATTACTCCAAACAGTTAATTTCAAAAGAAGTCAATGCTAGAAACCATCTGCAACACTACCTATAAATGATATTGCTTAACTTCCTAAAAGTCTTTGGCATACATATTCAAAAATCTTATAGTCTAAAAAATAGCTAAATGATATTTTCCCATGCACACAATCCATGACTTTATTCTTTTTCAATATTTTATTATTTTTATTTTATGTGTATGCATGTAATTGCCTGCATGTAGGTTAAGTGCACCCATGTTGTGCAATGCCTGCAGAGGACAGAAGAGACGGTCAGATCCCCTGGAACTGGAATTACAGTTGTTAGCTGCCATGTGGGTGCTGGGATTCAAACCCAGGTCTTCTGCAAGAACAGTCAGTGTTCTTATCCACTGAGCCATCTCTCCAGCCCCAACCTTTATTATTTCTAAAGCACACCCCTCTGTTGGACTCATCCCCTCAAGACCCCAGAAGACTGCTACTTACTAAATGCACCACACTGATACTCATCACTGTTGTCAAGACAGTCATCGAGTCCATCACAGCGGAAGTAGTCAGGCACACATTTGCCATTGTTGCAGGCAAAAGAAAAAGAGCCACACTGATCTGTGGGCGGCTCATGGGCTGGGTCTCCCTCACACGTCCTTTGGTTAGACGAAAGTTTCATTCCATAGGGACACCCACACACACGCTGGAAGTTTGGCACAGGGAAGCAGAAGTGGCTGCAGTCGCCATTGGGATGGGTGGGTTGACTGCAGTAGTTAGACCCTGAAAATGCAAACCAGGCAGGTACGAAGCTTGATTTGTGAAGGAAAACGCAAAAGAACCCATTCCAGATCCAACATTGCCAGAAACAAAATCAACCTGCCAAATACAGCATTTAAATATAGAAACGTTCTAAAATGTATACTTCAAACAGAAACTGAAGTCTTACAGTGCTCAAGTATGTGAGTGATGGGAATATGACACTATCAGGAGCTATGTTAGATAGGTACTTACAGAGGAAGGAGCCACCAAATCACATATCTGTAGAGAAACGGCAATGCCACTCACCAGTCTGGATGTCAGCATTATATGCTTTCACATACATTATGTTGTTGATGCCACTTCGAATAACTGTCCTATCTCCACCATCCAATTTCCTGACTCGAATAATGGCACCAAGTCTCCAGTCAGTAAAAAACAGAACATCTAAGAAAAAAATAAGGACAATTAGTATTTGTCATGGGTGACATAAATGCTTTAGGAAAATGCAACAAGTTTCCAATGCTTTTTGTAGTCTAAGAATCATCTGTCATCTGTTTCTATATTCATTTTCCATGATTGACTATTCTCTAGAAATGTTCTTTGGAAATCTATTTCATTGATATCATGGTGCAGGTTGAAGTAGATGCATGTGGAAGTTTTATGATGGCAGTAAGCACCAATTAGGCTTAAACATCCATAAGTAAAAATGAATATGAAAAAACATCTCAGTATTCTATATGGCACTAGATGTGGCCTCTGAAAACTGACCTCTTATCACAACCAAAGAAAATACTTAACTGTGAGAAAGAAACATACCACATCATCTCTAAGGCCACTTACAAGTCCAATACATCCCATAGCCTATCTTCATGAGAATGCCTAATATTTCTAAGAAACTATCAAGAAGGAAAAAGAACAGATCTCAAAAAAGGATCTTCCAATGTATGTTTGGGGACAAGTAAAAATGTCAGCACAATTGTGCACACACCTGCCCCCATACAACGTCACATGGTGCTCAGAAGGCTAAAAAGAAGCAATATTTTTATTCCAACAGTGCTCAAAAGAAAGAATTGAGTCACAGTGAATCTTGTGTATGGTTAGTATAACTAATTAGAAAAGCCAATTAACCAGAAAATGCTTACAATGTGCCACATGTTGTCATCAGACCAAGTTTCCTTATCTGTGGTTCAATCAATAACAGTAGGTCACTGGAGTCACTAAATCTCTTCTCCCCTTACTGCAACTTAAGGGATCTCACTGTATTTTAAGTGGATAAAGAGTTCAAACTTTGAATCTTTTACAGTGTACAGTTAAAGAAAATCTAGTCTTAGCTGGGCGTGGTGGCACATGCATTTTACCCCAGCACTTGGGAGGCAGAGGCAGGAGGATCTCTGTGAGTTCAAGGCCAGCCTGGTCTACACAGCATGTTCCAGGCCACTTGGGGCTACAGGGATCCAAAGCTCTTGCCTGACCTCTGCAGCATGAGAGCACACATGCAGGCAATATACTCATACACACATAGTAAAAATCATTTTAAAAAGAAGGAAATCTAGTATTTCAATTAAAAATTAATAATCTCCATAGTGTTGCAGAATTAAAGATCTTTCCCAATGAAATCCATCAGGTGGTTAGGAATGAGGACATTCACTTGTAATCCCAACATCTGAGAGGTTGAGGTAGGAAGTTCATGAATTCAAGCCAACCTGAGCTACATAGGGAGCCCCTGTCTTGAAAGAAAAAAGGAAAGGAAAAAAAGAAAATCACAATGAAAAGTAGAATTGGCAGAAACGAAATAATCATGTTCTTCAAGATATATTGTATGGTTTTCATTGGTATTCATATTGATGAAACCAAAACACATAACAATGAAAAATTAACACTTTTATAATGTTTTATGCAGCAGCGAATAGTACATCATTAGAAAAGGGGAGTAAATGCACAAGGAGTGTTTATAACTGACTCATCTCATCAAAAATATTACAAGAGCATTTTAAAAATATTTTTAAATACCACACACTCTAAAGATAGTCAACAAGACAGAATATTCAATATATTTACTGACTATTCATTCCACACACTATGTGAGTGAGAAAGTCTTTGATTTAAAATTAGTGTTGAATTGTTTAAAGCACTGTGCTAAGTATTCAAAATAAGGGGTTTCAACAGGGACACAACTTATTTATACAGCCTTTGGTAGCTATATATAAAGTGCCATCCCTCAAACTAGACTAATTATAGTTGCTATGTGCACCCAGGGTAGATGTCAATCTCTTCTCATTCTCTTGGCCTAGAACTTGTGCTTATTTGTACAGGGTTATCACTAGTTAGTTGATGTTGACTTTAAACTTGCTATATAGCCCAAATTGGCCTCAAACTCATGATTCTCCTGCCTTCCAAGTGCTGTCCCTGCGCATGAAATACCCAACCAGTAATAGAGCCCTGTTTTCAGGAATAAACTAGCCACCTGCTTTATTTTGCATGATCTTGCTATGCGGCCCAGCCTTGCCTTCAACATGTGACCCAGGCCAGCCTCAAATTCATAGTGATCCTCTTGCCTCAGCTTCCAAAATGCTGAGATTACAAGTGAGGACCACCAGGCATGGCTTGGTAGGTTATATTCTTATTCCCAGCAACTCAACACACAGAAGTATGTCTGTGCTAGAAGGGGGCTGAGCAAAGGAAGGCCTACGCTTAGCTAAAATCATCTCACAATTCCATGCCTTACAGAAATCTTTACTAACAGCATGAAAATCATATGGAAAGATGGATAAAGAAACAATCATGTCTTCTGGTTCTGAGTCATATTTTGGGATAGAGATGGGGCTCTGTGACATAGCACTTGCCTGGCATGGGTGAGACCTGTGTTCAATCCCCAGTACTGGAGGGGAAAAGTACTGTCACTTCTATGAAACAAAGATGATGGTAGCTAACTTTCTGATTAAAAGGTTCCAAGTTGTTTAATGAATGCACCGTTGATGAATATAATCATCTTTCTCCAAGGATTCTAATGAAGTCTTTGCAAACACCAGAAAAAAATGAAATTCTACGATGGTTTCTATAAAAAGTTCTTGCTAGTTTATCCTCAAAAAATGAGTAAGGTAATGACTTCATATTTCTCATGTACTACTTACTAAGCACATAATCTATCAAGTGTTAATAGTATCAAAATGTGTATAGAGCAACACTCCAAAAGTGAAATTTTCCATCAATAACCAAATGTTCTGTCCACATATAATAGCATCATTTTAAATTCACAAAATACAAAACATTAAACATTTTTTATTGCTTCAAAACATACCTCTAAAGATGGTGAGTGCAAAGGGATGCGTCATCTGGTCTATATGGCCCAGTCTTTTTCTATCTAAACCATCAAAGGTGCTGTGTTCAATTTTATCAAAAAACGCATCTACCCAGTACAATCGCGAAGCACTAAAATAATAAAAATATTGTTATCTGCTATCCAGGAACCAGCAGGGTCTCCTGCACACTGAAGACATTTACAGTTTACATACCTATCAAAGGTTTCCAAAGTCAAATCATGCTCATTAAAATGTAAGCTTTATGGCTTTCAACAATATAGCTACTTCATTAAATGACTTCAATTGTCTGAGATAGCTTGAAATATAATTATCTTTAAGTTTGGAATTCCATTTTTCTTGATAAATCAACAAGATAACAAAAATATTGATATCGATGTTTAAAAGATGAATACAACTCTTCTCTTTTGCCCCATAAACTACTTTAGTACTATAAGCTTGTTTACCTTATTCCTATACAGACTCTTGAGAACCATACTTATTCAAAATTCCCCCAAAGTATGAACAAATATACACTTGTTGACTGATTCATTCCAAGAATTTGCTATCCTCAAGATGCCTCTAAAAAGAAATTAAACACAGCGTATACTTCATCAGATCTCAAACTTCTAATAGGGTTTGGACTTGACCTTCCACAAAGTCCTGTCATTCTGCTGCTTCTAGAAATTTTCTCAGAATATTTAGAAATGAATGCATTGTCTCCTGCATCATTCAACATCCACAACCAGTACCAATTAGTGATTTAAAAGTTTCAGAAGGCACACAGTACCCATTTCCTTACCCCATCCTGATACCCCATGTCCAGCATGCCTCCTATATAAGTAAAATTCAGACGATATCTACTCACCCCCAATCAATGGCCAAGCCGTTGGGCCATCCCAGAGTAGTGTTCACTACAGGCATAAGGTGAGATCCATCACTCCATGCTCTCATAATTTTAGCAGGACGGAACCAATCACTGAAGAATATATACCTAGAAAAAGTGAGAATAAATCAAGAATGTTAATACTGGAAAAAAGGACATGACTTAGAGGGATTTATAGAGACTTATAATTAGTTTTATTTTTTGTATATGCTATCAAGCTTGGCAGATTTAGTGTGTAATATTTAATTCTGAGTTACAATTTCATCAATAAAGCTAGGCCTAGTGGTACAGGCCTTTAGTTCCAGCACTTGGGAGGCAGAGGCAGGCCTCTGCTGTGAGGCCAGTTTGAGATGTATATAGTGAGTTCCAGGCCAATTAAGGCTACAAATATGCAATCAAAGTCACAAATATAGCAAGACTCTGCCTTAAAAAGGAAGGAGCTGGGTGTGATGGCACATGCCTTTAATCCCAGCACTCAGGAAACAGAGGCAGGAAGATCTCTGTGAGTTCCAAGCCAGCCTGGTCTACACAGTGAGTTCCAGGCCAGCTGGGGCTACAGACAGACCTTGTCTCAAAAAGATCAAAAAAAGAGGAGGAGGGAGGGAAGGAGGGAGAGAAAGAGAGAGGGAGGGAGGAAGGGAAATAAAACAAAAATGAAAAACCATTCATCATTTCCTGTGTTACCAATTAGTATGGGTGTCAGGATAATAAAACTTCCCACTCTAACTCTGAAACAGCATCTTACCTAAAGCATCTTTTTCTCTTTCATACAACCCCTAGGTATCAAAGCCAATCATTTCCAGTTAAAAATAAAATTATTTCCAGTTAAAATAAAAAGGTCATTAGGAAAGAATTTAACAGCTTTTTTAAAACCAAATGTCCTTAGCCGGCATGGTGGCACATGCCTTGCAGACGCAGATGGATCTCTGTGAGTTCAAGGCCAGCCTGGTCCACATAGTGAATTCCAGGACAGCTGGGGCTACAGGGAGACCCTGTCTCAAAAAGACCAAAAAAAAAAAAAAAAAGTTAAAACCAAATGTCCAAGATTATATGAGGATAAATTCATTTTAAAATTAAAGTTTAGGGCTGGAGCGATGCCTCAGCGGTTAAGAGCATTGACTACTCTTGCAGAGGACCCAGGTTCGATTCCCAGCATCCACATGGCATCTATGAACTGTCCTTAACTCTAGTTCCAGGGGACTAGGAAGCCCTCTTCTGACCTCCGTGGCATTGCACAACACGGGTGCACTCACATACATGCAGGCAATACACTCATACACATAAAATAAAAATAAAAATATTTTTAAAATCAACAGTTTATCTATAGATAGGGCTTATTATAAATATATCATCCATTTTTACAAAAACTACAAAATGAACACTCCAGAGATAATAAACAGACTTTGTTGGGGAAAAAAATTTTGGGTCTGGACAGGTCTAGAGTTGGAGTACAGCTCTCGCTTAATAGTCTGAGTCACTTTTCCTCCCTGAGCCAGAGACCCATTCTCTCAGAAGTGGGTATTATACACGACTCCTTCACAAAATGGCTTGTGATTAGTGATGAGATGATACATTTAAAGCACCCCCTATGTGAGGGAATCGACTTCATTGAGTCACCAGCTGTTGTCAAATGTGACTACATATCTCAGGCCTATTCTGACAAACATGTTAGCCACTGAAGGTAGAACTGGTCTGAAAACCTCTTACTAGATGATTAAAGGGTTTTGTCAAAGCTTCATATCAGTGCATTAAAGCAGCTCAAGAATTTGAGTCTTCCTCGACAATTCTGCTTCATTCCTTCCCTACCAAACCGAGGAACATTTTTGGTCCTCTGTAATTGTGCCAAAAGGGATCAAATCGAAGGTGATTAAGCTACATGATTCAATCTTATACTTGCTGAATTCGCCAAATCACTTTTCCATCACTGTAAAAGGCATTCAGTTCCAAGCTCTTAGAAGAACATGAATTCACATACCCAGCAGTAGGATGTACCACAATGGACCGTGGGTTGTTTAAATTCTTGACTATTTCTCGCCTCGACTTATCAGCTAGCTTCATGACAGTGACACTCTTTAGTGAAGCATCTGTCCAGTAGAGATTCCTTGAAATCCAGTCAAAAGCCAAACATTCAACATTAGCCACCCTGTTAGCTGCGAGAATTTCTCTTCCTATAAGTAAAAAGTATGGATATGTGTTAACCTAATCATACAAGACAAATTTCCCAACTGCTGCATATTTAAATTTTGTATCAAAGGGCATATTTCAGAAACATGTGTGGAATTCTTTAAAAGAAAAAAAAAAATCTGTAAACTACTGAGCAATGATGAGAGAAACCTAGAATCTATCCCTTCCCCAAAGCTTGAATCTCAAGGAGCAGAGATGATACTGATAAACAGAACCAGGAGCGGTGTGGGCTGGATTTACCCCCTTGTTCAACTTTCCAGAAAAAAATTTCTCATTGCAGAACATCTGAAAAAGAGATACCTGTGTTCACCTACTACCACCCTGAGACGGCTCTGATGAGCTGACACTGCCAGGTACCACCAGGGGTAGCCTGCAGGCATTACAGCCCAACTCTCAAAAGACTTTCAGCAGATGAAGTTGCCAAGACTGGAAAAGACCAGCAAAGAAACCAGACAGGGAATCAGAACTGGCTACAGGGGAAAACTTTACATTCTTCTGTGAAAAGTTTATGCCTCTTCTTTTTTTCTGCTGAAGAAAACTCCCTGAGAATAAGCACATCTCTCTGCTTTGCTGCCCTAGTCCTTTTTCCATTCATCTTTTCACCTGATTATGAAAAGGAAGCCTTGCCGGGTGTGGTGGCACACGCCTTTAATCCCAGCACTTGGGAGGCAGAGGCAGGCAGATCTTTGTGAGTTCAAAGCCAGCCTGGTCTACATAGTGAGTTCCAGGACACCTGGGACTACAAGGAGGCCCTGTCTCAAAAAGAGAAAAAAAAAGGAGGTCTTCATCATATATTTAGGAAACATAATATTGTTCATAAAAGTATGTATTAATTGAGCACTTACTATGGGCCAGGAACTGTTACAAGAACTTTATGTAGATCATTCATTCTCACCAGTTTTATGCATGAGGAAACTGGGCAACGGACAAGCAAAGCATTTGGGAAAGCATGTACGCACATCATATGCGAGGGCATGACAAGTTGGATGTATGAAGAGGGTTCCAGAGGAAGCAGAGTCTTGAGGATCATGGAGACAGACTAGAACTCCACAAGGCCTTGCAGCATAGCTGGAGGTTAATGGTTAGTGAGAGAGACTGAAGGAAAGAGGATTCAAAGGACCATCAGGTTGGTACTCCAAGAGCTTTCAGGCCCACCTGTCATTTTTAAAATACAGTTTTTCAAGAAAAAAAAAAAGAGGGAAAAGAAATACAGCCTGAGCCGGGGGTAGCATCCCAGTACTTGGGAAGTTAAGGCAAGAGGATGACCAGCCTGGGCTACTCAAGGACAGCCAGGGCTCCATAATGAGATCCTGGCTCAAACAAAAAAAAAAGATTCAATCTCATTTATAAGATGACTTGTTTTGAAAATAAAGGAATGGTGAGGTATCTGGGATGGTGGCTCGGTCCTGTAATCAGCACTCAAGACGCTGAGACAGGAGGATTGATGCAAATTCCAGGCCAGCCTGAGCTACAGACCCTTTCTCAAAAGTGGGGGGAGGGGCGGGAAATAGGGAAGGGCAAAACAACTATTTCTTAATTTAGCAAATGCAGTAAACATGTTGCATAAGGAATGGATACAAACTTACACTGAATGAATTATTAGTCGCAATAGGTAGAACAAACACAACATATGTCCCCACATGCACACTTCCTCACCTGTGCCATCAATCTTTTGTTTATAAATTATATCTTTTGATGTGTCTGAGTAAAAGATGGTGCTGTGCTGGGCATCAAAATCAAGCCCAATAAAAAAAGCAGGACTCCCGGAGACTGGAACCATGACATCTTCCTGGGTGGAGAGGGTGAGCGGAATCCCACGCACAGCCATTTGGGATGAAAAGAGCAGGAAGTTCTTCACAGCTGTAGGAAGAGGGACCTACACAGTCAGTTACAGCTCAGCTCTGGCCCTCCCCAAGTTCCAGAGACATTGTGTTCCTAAAGTACAGTTGATAATCAAGAAATAGAATTCTGAAATAAATATAGCATATACATTTATAGTAAACATAACTGGAAACACCAGTCTAGAAGGAGATTACACATCTTAAAGGCTTCTTCCTTTGCTTCTCTTTTCATAAGGACATATTCATTATAGCAAGTGATGAGTTTCATCATGGCATTTTCATATACATGTGTCATGCATTAATGCTCATATCCCCTCCCATTACCTTCTCTTGTATGTCGGGGATGCACTCCTGAGAGGGGAGGCCAGAGGAGGTATCCTCTCTCGTGCTCCACCTTACTCACCTGAGACAAGGTCTCTCACTGAATATGAAACCCACCATTTTTTTTGTTTAGTGCAGGGGTTATAGCCATACAAGGCCACATCCATTTTTTCTCTTTTTTTGTAGCTTTCTATTTTTGTTTTTTTTAAGTCTTTTTGAGACAGGGTCTCCCTGTAGCCTCAGCTGGCCTAGAACTCATTATGATAAGAACTTGGGAGGCAGAGGCAGGCGAATCTTTGTGAGTTCAAGGCCAGCCTGGTCTACATAGTGAGTTCCAGGACAGCTGGGGCTACAGGGAGACCCTATCTCAAAAAGACCAAAAAAAAAGTCAAGGCGAGCAGCAGCGTTATAGAAATATATTTCATCAGCAGCTGAGACCCAGGAAATAGAGATGTACAGACAACCCAAGGAAAAGGGAATGCTTTGATAGAACAGGAACACAAAGGCTGAGAAAGATGAAAGGAGTGAACTGAGAACTGGAAACTTTTGGAATATATCGAAAAAGCCAGAAGTCAGAAAATGGGATGGATGCTTCCCATCCCAAAGTTAAGGCTACGTCTACAGTGCAAACACCAAGGCTGGAGTGTAGCTCTGTGTTTGCTTATCATGTTCAAGACTCAGGTTCTACCCCCAGCACTGAAAAACTAGGGGAGGTACAAACCCAATGTCCCAATGTGGTGGTACACACCTGTAATCTCAGCACTCAGGAGGCTCAGGCAGGAGGATTATGAGTACCAGGCCAGCCTAGACTATATAAGGAAACTGTCTCAAGAACAAAAAACATAGAAATAGAAAATAAATCATATTCAATCATATGAAAAATTTAATAATAAAAGGAGATAAAGTTTTCTGGAAACAAATGGAAAAGACAAATAAAAGGAAAATCCCGAAGGCCAGAAATCTCCATCTTCAGACATAGTTCTGTATACCGAGAAGAATTCAGACAGTGAGCTGGCCCGGTGCAGAGCACAGACAGTCTGGGAAGAGGCATGGACACACAAACCCTGTGATGCCCGCTGAGAAGACAGAGCAGGTTTCTTACCCACACAGTGGCTCTCGTCGGTATCCAGTTTAAAGCCAAATTTGCATTTGCACCGGTAGCCCAGGCCTCCATTATCTGTCCTATGGCTGAGAACACAGATCTGCTCACAGCCCCCATTGTTATTTCCACATGGATTGGTAGCTGGGGGGAAACAAAGGATGAAAATGCAATGAGGGAAAAAAAAAAGCACAAAGCACCTGCAAGGTCACAGCTCCAGAGCCATCTCTCCTAATTACTACTGTGCACTCAGGTCTGGCCACCCTAACCCTTCAGCTCCTTTGCTGCTAGCCATCTACTCTCAACCTGGTAGTGGCAAAATCAGGACTCCTGCAACTGATAAACCATGAAATTCTTTTCCCATAATAATTATGTCACAGTCTGCTAGCCTCCATGGTTAGAAATAACTGTTCCTTTCAAGTATTTTTAAAGCCTTTATGGCTATTGTTTTTATTCAGAAACTATCCAAATAACTATTAAAGAAAATGTAACACCAATAACTCTAAGATATGAATATTGTTATCCCAGCAGGCTCCAAAACTGCCCAAGATTATTCAGTATTTGGCTTATGTCCAGATCTGATTCCCAAACCCTCCAATGCCACACTCAGAAGGCTGCCAACACCAAAGTCTCTTCATCTGCTTTTTAAATTGTCTTCTGATCCTCTGACTTATTCTTGTGAAACTCTTGCTCCCTCAGGTGGGTTGATTTGGGAAACAACAGCCAGACATCATTCTGATCGACATAATGGAAATAATCTTGATAACTGACAGAATAAGGGCAGCTATGAGCTCAGGAGTTGAGTTAAAAACTATTTCAGAGAATTCCATAATGTTTCTAGGCAAGTATATATTTTTCCAGATTGATTATGTTAAATGTTATTCATCTGAATATATCATTTCTAGTGTGTGTGGTTTTGTTTCCTTTAAAAAAAAAAAAAATCTAAGCTGGGCATGGTGGCACATTCCTTTAATCCCAGCACTTGGGAGGCAGAGATAGGTGGATCTCTGTGAGTTCAAGGCCAGCCTGGTCTCCATTAGCGAATCCAGGCCAGCTGTGGCTACAAGGAGACCTTTTCTCAAAAAGACCAAAAAAAAAAAAAAAATCTAATTACTTTATAGTCTTTCTCCATAAATCTAATTACTTTATAGTCTTTCTCCATCCTAAATAGATTAGTTAACAAGAAAGTTTTAAAAAAAAATGTGATTCACCAAATCTGTCTACCAATATCACCTTGGTTGTTGTATAAGCAAATACTGAAAAGTACCACATACAGTGCAGATGGACATGTCAAAGCTCAACTTAAAACACAGCTATTTTTTAAATAAATAACGAAAGACGCCAAACACATTTGGCCCATAACAGACCTAATGCAAACAGAAGAAAGATGACAAACATATACATCAAAGAAGAAAATGGGGAGGTGAAGAGATGGCTTAGCAATTGAGAGCACTGTCTGCTCTTGTAGAGGACCCAGGTTTGGTTTCCAGCCCCCACATGGTGGCTGACAGTCCTTAACTCTAGTTTCAGGGGATCTGATATCGTCTTCTGACATGTGGGTGCACTAACATACACAAAAAACTCATACACATAAAAATAATTTTAAAAAATTAATAAAACTGAACTAATCCTAACTAAAATGAACATACGTAAGTTTCCTCTGTCAGGTCTCAAATAAAATAAACAGCAGGTTTGCAATTAGGAGCTTTCTCCCAGTAGAAATAGGTGGTATAGTTTGTTTGCTGCTAGACCCCAGGATCTCGAATACACTACAGGAGCTAATAAACTTTTATTCAATGAAACTTTGTTTCTTCTAGATTTTTTATCTTAGTTTTAAAATAATCCATGTCAATTTTTTCAAATGCTCATGACTTTTAGAAGCAATTTCTGAAGGTCTGGCAACTCTTCATCTATTTAAGAAGGGCACTCAAATTTCATGAGTTCTTTCATCAATACTATCCATAGCTATGAGAAAACTTTTTTTTTTTTTTTTTGGTTTTTTTTTGAGACAGGGTCTCCCTGTAGCCCCAGCTGGTCTGGAACTTGCTATGTAGATCAGGCTGGCCTTGATCTCATGAGATCTGCCTACGTCTCCTGGGATTAAAGGCATATGCCACCACACCTGGCAGGCTATAAGAAAACTTTTACAGTACCAAATAGGATGATTGTTGTTGGGGGCCTTACCATTGGGCTGCCTGAGACCATGGTAAACAGTCACTCCATAGGGCCTCAGTGAAGACTGGTGGTGCACTTGGGGGTTGGTCTCTGTGAACTTGTTTGCCCTCATCACAGCCATCTTTGTCCAATCAGTGAAGAACACATGTTCTTCAAACAAGCTTATTCCGAAGGGGTGAGGAACTCGGGAGCCACCGTGAACTACTGTCTTCCTGTTCCAAAAGAAACAGGCATGTATCACACCATTGCTGCTTGTTTTGCTTTATTTTTACTGAAGGTGTAATTTGCCCAGTTGAATGCCTAAAAAGCTAAATCATTTCTTGTTATATATAGAATATATGTTGCTTCACATATAAAAGGCTAAGATATAAGAGAGTATTTTAAATTCCACAGATGGATAAATATGGTATAGGCTAGAAATCTGGTGACAGATGCTCCAGCAGTCATTTCCCACTGCACCATGGGCCATTCTTCAGTGCCTAAAGGCAAGACCACGGATAGCAAAAGTAAAAGCCTGCTAAACACCCAGTGCTACCATTCTTACACATCTGATTGACAGGAGCTGTCAACATGTCAGACCTCTAGCAGAAGCCACTGCCCAGGCCTGCTTAAGTAGAAAGAAAACAAAACAGAAAATGCTAAGTAAAGGGATTAATTCTACTGTGCCTGCCATGACCTGATAACAGTGGTTCAGTAAGACCCAAGAGTGAAGTAAGGTAGAGGGTGATTCCAGAGGGAAAACTCTTTTCTACAAAGTACAAAGGCCTGAATAAAAAAATGTTACCAATCCTTGAAAATAATTAAACAGTGTAATAGGGGTCTTAAAAAAAGACGGGGATGCTAAAGTTGAGAAACATGAAGAAAGAAAACAAAAGAAATCTAAGCTAGTGAGTTAGCCTGCACTTTAAAACCCTGAATGATGACTTACAACATTAAGGTGAGTGTAGGGACCAGACACAGTGGTCTGCACCTGTGAACCCACCACTCAGAAGGTGGAGGCCGGAGATTTCCAAGTTTCAGGACAGACTTTGCCACATGGCATAAACTTGTCTAAAAAACACTTTTTTCTTTTCAGTTGACAATTTCCTGAACTTTCAGTGTTACTGACTAGCAAAGCAAGAGGCACTGACTTCCTGAGGGCAGCTGTACTCTAGAGCTTTAACATTTCTTTGATGTTTCTCCACAGGAAACCACTCAGTTAAGATCTTTCCTGTTTAGCATATAATATTGATAGTAAAGTACAAGCTGAAACACAACACTGAAAGAGAAAAAAATTAGTTCTGTTTTATTTTTTTTTAAGTTTTATTTTTATTTTATGTGTTTATGTGTACTGCCTGCATGTAGGTAAGTGCACCCATGTCGTGCAATGCCCGTGGAGGTCAGAAGAGGGTGTCAATCCCTTGGGACTGGAGTTACGGACAGTTGTTAGCTGCCATGTGGGTGCTGGGATTCGAACCCCGGTCTTCAAGAGCAACCATTGTTCTTAACCGCTGAGCCATCTCTCCAGCCCTCAACTGCTTTTTTTTTTTTTTTTTTTGGTCTTTCTGAGTCAGGGTCTCCCTGTAGCCCTAGCTGGCCTGGATTCGCTATGGAGACAAGGCTGGCCTCAAACTCAGAGATCCACCTGCCTCTGCCTCCCATCTACTTCCTCTTCCTCCCATCTACTGGCATATACCTCCATTCCCAGATTTTCATTTTAATCGAGATAAGGAAAGGTATTAGAGGAGGTGAATAAGAACAAAGCATGACTGCACATATATGAAAATGTCATGTATTATTTTGTATGCCAACTAAAAAAATTAGAAAGAAAAGATTTTTCAGAGGCTCTTCTTTTTCCTGTGCCTATGTCTGTGTCTGTGTGTGAGAGATGTGTATATGAGTGTAGGCATTCACATGCCATGGCCTTCCCCATGGGATCCAGGGATCAAATTCAGGTAGTTAGGCTTGTCCAGTAAGAGTTTTTAACCCTCTGAGCCTCTTACCTACCCCATGGGGTATGTCTTTCTTTATGAGAAACTCTCTTTCTCTTAAACTTCATACTTAAAATCTGTATTAAAAGATCTTTATTAGTTGGAGAGATGGCTCATAACTTAAGAGCACTGGCTGCTCTTGCAGAGGAACCACATTCAGTTCCCAACACCCACACAGGGGATCTTATGCCCTCTTCTGGCTTCCACAAGCATTGCATGACATGAGTGCTCTTACATGTAGGTAAAACACTCATATGCATAAAATAATAAATAAATCAAAAAAATTTAGTTGAACGTGGTAGCACACCCCTTTGGTCCCAGCACTCAGGAGGCAGAGGAGGGGGATCTCTGTGAAATCAAGGCTAGCCTGGCCTACCTAGTGAGTTCTAGGCCAGCTGGGGCTACAGAGAGACCTGTGTTAATAGCACTCAAAAAAGATTGATGCTTTTTTTATTGAATTATGTTCTCAGTATGGCAACTAGTCTTAGTGATAGGAAGTCAAAGTACTAATTCCCAATCATTTCATTTAACCAGGCAGAGATTATTCAAAGAATAAGTAATGAGCAGGAAACTGTGATACCATCCTTACAAAATATAGATTAAAAAAAGAACAAAGCTAGACTATCCCTTTCAAAAATAAATAAATAAAAACATTTGGAAAAATTAGATTATCCAGTCTACTTAAAGTAACTCCTGGTTTTAAAAAAAAATTGTCTGGGTGTGGTACCACACATCTATAATGCTAGCACTTAGGAGGCAGAGGCAGGACAACGATGAGTTCAAGGTCAACCTGTTCTTCCTACTCAGTTCCAAGCCAGCCAGGGTTACATAGAAAGACAATGTCTCAAAATAAACAAATAAATGAACACTATCTTTGAAAATACTAATATAAGAAGATCAAAGGCTCCAGGCATGGTGGCACACGCCTTTAATCCCAGCATGGAGGAGGCAGAGGCAGGCTGGTCTAACATAGTTGGGGTTACAGGGAGACCCTGTCTCAAAAAGACCCCCCAAAAAAATCAAAAGGTAATAATATAGGTGTAGGGGCCTGGAGAGATAACTCGGTGGTTAAGAACACTGGTTGTTCTTGCAGAAGGTCCAGGTTTGAATCCCAGCACCCACATGGCAGCTAACAACTGTCCGTAACTCCAGTCCCAGGGGACAGCCTCTTCTGACCTCTGTGGGCACTGCACAACAAAGGTGCACTTTACCTACATGCAGGCAATACACGCATACACATGAAATAAAAATTTTAAAAATTAAAAAAAAACATAATATAGGTGTAGTACACAGAGTACACAGCTATAATGCCAGTACTCTGGAGACAGGTGAACAGAAGTTCAAGGTCATCCTTGGCTATATAGTGCATTCAAGACCATAGAAACAAAGGATTTCTCCAGGCTGGGGTACACTCCGTGGTAGAACAGGCATGAAGCTTGGACTTCAATCCCTAGACCCCCAAAATAGAACAAGAAACAAAGAATTTCTGCTGGAAGTGTGAAATTTAAGAGCAAAGTAAACCCAACTAATTTCCATGGATAGTCAAGTAAATAATTTTACAAGTATGTATTTGTTGAAATATTGAAGTTTTTAAAGTAAAATGGTCTTGGTCTGAGGAAGTAAAGCTTAAGGGATTCAGGAACGAAAACATGCTATGACATGTCACACATATGCACACAATAAATAAATACATTTTTTTAAAAGAACTCAAGTTAACAAAACTCAAGGCTGGTCACTTTAGGCGATTATCTACACACAGGTCAATCAATAGCATCAACCAACAAGATGATATTTCAATTGAAGTCCTTCAGTTTTATACACTTTCCCCAAGTTTATAAAGCCAATAAAAACAAATACAAAAAAGCCACATCTCTTACCTTTGGATTCCATCGTACGTAACAGTTTCAATGTAGTCATATCGGCAGTCCACCCAGTAAATACGCCTAGACACCATATCCAGAGTGATCCCAGCAGGCCACCCCAACTTTGTCTTTACCAAGTCTCTCCTATTACTGCCATCCATGAAAGCTCTTTCCAACTTAGGCTGCCCAGAAAGGCTCATCCAGTCTGAGAAAAACAAATAGCTACAAAAAAAGAGCAGAAGATGAAAGGGTCTGTTTCAAGTAACTGGAAAATATTATCCTAGACAGAGTGTTTGGATCAATGGGATTTCCCACTGACCAACAAAACCACGGCAGTATAGAGAAACAGAAATAAGGAACTAAAAAAGTATCCTTTAAGAAAAGACTATGGGGGCTGGAGAGCACTCAGTGGTTAAGAGCACTGACTGCTCTTGCAGAGGACCTAAGTTCGATTCCCACATGGCAGCTAACCAGTAACTCCAGTTCCAGGGGATCCAACTCTCTCTTCTTATCTCTGCAGGCATTGCACCGCATGGATACACTTACACATGCAAGCAATACACTCATACACATAAAATAAAAATAATAAATTGTTAGAAATTAAAATTAAAAAAGACTATGGCCAGGCGTGGCGGCACTCACTTCCAGCTAGAGGCCAGCCTGGCTGAGCAGGACAGCATAAGGAGACCCTGTCTCACTGGGCATGGTGGTATATGTCTATAGGACTTGAGAAGCTGAGGCAGAAGGATCTTGAGCTTGAAGCAAGCTATATAGCAAGATCCTGTATCAAAAACCAAAACAAACCAGCCATAAAAGCCATCAGGAAAACCAACAACACCAAATAGCAACTACTAAATCATACCTGGTGGCCTAAAGTTTTATATTCACCTTAACTTTTTCTTGACTCTTTCAATCCTCTTTATGTATCACCAAGAAAACTTATAAATGCATTTTTGAAAGAGCTCTCAAAGGCTGGAAAGATGTTGAGGTAGTTAAGAGAACTTGCTGTGCAGATGACCCAGGTTCTGGCCTCCTTGGGCACTGCACACACATGGTGTACGTACATATATGCTAACACTAACACACATAAAATAAAATTTTAGAAAAAGAGTTCTCATAGGGTGGCCTGGAGGTGCATACCTTTAATCCCAGCATTGGGGAGGGAGAGGGAGGTAGAGATCTGTGAGATGGAGGCCAGTCTGGTCTACATAGTGAGTTCCAGGCCAGCTAGGGCTGCAGGGAGACCGCGTCTCAAAAAAAAGGACCAAAAAAAAAAAAGCCCTCAAGCTATCACCCTTAGTCTTCCAATCAGCCCACAGAACATTTCCATACTTTAAGCAAGGGAAAGGGAAGCTGATACAACAGAGCAATCACTAGCAACCAATAGCTAAGTAACCAGAAGGTCTAAGAAAACAGCCCCCCAAAACTCTTCTCAAATATGGAGATCCAGAACATTTGCATTCAAACCTGAAGGAAAGTTGGCGGGGTCAGTCTGGTGGGTTGTCACCCTGAGCAAGTTATAATGAAACGACTAACATGAAACCTCAACACCTCCCCCTTAACAAGAAGGTACCAAAAGGAATTCTTCAAATGACTTTCCCTCTTTCAAAGAAATTTTTCAGCTAGTCTACTGTAATCAGGGTGAAGCATAGTAGGGTTGAATTGTAGTAATCACACTAAATCAGAGCACACAGCTAGGCAAATGTGGTAATACTAAGAACAAAATTCTTAACACATCAAGTATTTCCCGCACACCAGTAACTATGCTTGGATTAAATATCTCCATATGAGGGGATACTTAGTGAACTCTTAAACCTTCCATGCCCAGAAATCAAATATACATGGGTTCTAGCGTACAGAACCTAAAAGAACTCCAAATTAACTTCCAATTAACGCAGTGGGGGATGGGTTCTGGACGAGGGACAGGAATTGGTGCACTCTCATGCCACTTACCCCACAGTTGGGTCCAGGGCAATTCCTCTAGGATACCCTAAGTTTTCAGTTATAAGAGTAACACGTTGACTTCCATCCAAATTTACCATATCTATGCGGTTGACCTTGGTCTCTACCAGATAAAGTTTATTATTGACCCAGTCCACAGCCAGATTCTCTGGAGCATCAATAGACTCATTCAGAACTTCTCGTATATTTAAGCCATTAATGTCAACTGAAAAAACCTGAAAGTCACAATCAGTACATACTGTCAGTATGATCTCATGTACTGTTTTCCTATACCTCATTTAGTATATATTTTGAAGAATTTGTAACCTGAAACTGAAAAACAAAAAGGTTGATTTAAGGCTGGCCATTATGTTTTTACATTGTGAGTTAACAAAAGCATGTAAAGGGCAAATAAGTAGTTGGATTTTGTGGTGTTCATTTTGCCTTGTTTTCATTCTTATATTAAGCCTGCATTTCTCATTCTTGGTCATTATTGGAAGTTTAACTAGAAGGGCTGAAGAGAAGTCTCAGTGGTTAAGAGCATTTACTGCTCTTCCAGAGGACCCACATTTAGTTCTCAGCACCCACAATGGGCTCACAACCAACTGTAACTCCAGCTCCAGAAGATCTGACACCCTCTTCTGGCCTCCACAGGTACCTGCACTCAACATACACATACCCATAAACGGACACATATTCATAAAACTGAAACTACAAAAAGTTTTTAATTTAACCAGAGTATAGATGTTTTTGGTAGAGATGGTGCTGGTTTGTTTTGATTTTTAGTTATATTCAAATCAGAATTGCTAATAACCAAAATTGTCAACTTAAAAGAAAATTTGTGTTATCACTTAATTGAATTAGAATCTTACTCATGCATAATGGGTTACATAGTAAAGGAACTGTAACAGGAATAAAATTCCACATCCCTTTAGTAGTCTCTAGTATCTATGTTTTAAAAATCTGTATTGTATTCAAAATAATAAAATCAATTACTCTCTAAGCAAGACAATGTAATGAAATTTTGGTCATTGCATAAAATACTGCCAATATTTCTTACCCAACTCTCAATTACAGTTCCATGTAGAAGATGCAGGTAAAAAATCTGATTTTCATCATCCAGGAAAGCAGAATACTTTTTTATATTTTAAATGATCAAGTTTCAAAATGACCACAAAATATCTAAGTTTGAAAGAAGGTCTACTATTTCTTTTAATTAGGCTTTTGGACTCCTTTTTGAATAAAATTAAAAGTTGCTCAAGGCTAATCCATATAATAGACGTCTTTGTTCAATAGGTCACATGTAATAGTATAGCAGGGAAAAGGTGCTGATTAACATAAAATATCTCAAGGGCCTTTTTTGTTAGAAAACAAAGGAATTTTCCCCTCTACTCCTCCCAAAATGAAAAGCTATCAACACTTTGTTCTTTAGGTTCTATTCAGCTCCCAAGCTACACTCTTAAAATTTCTATTTACCTTATCTTGCACAGGGTCTGTCCAAAACACTCTGTGCTGCTGATAGTGAAAATCCACACCCATGGCCACACCACGGTTTTGAGACTGTACTAGAATCCGGAAGTTCCTTCCATGAAGATCCCCAATTAGCAAATCTCGACCATTGGAGAAAATAATGGCAGCTGGACTGACTACATGTGAAGAAGAAACAATTGTCACTCCCTCTGGTGAGCAGACAGTGAAGTTACAATGGATGTGCTTGCTTTTTAAAAAGTTAGCATCTATGTTTCTTATTTGATTATAAAATAGAACTCTGAGGCAGATAGCAATTATTTTACCTATTTTACATGTGGGCAAATTGAGACACCAAGACGCTTAACCAAATATCCCTCAATCACTATGAGTAAGGGATAGAGTCTGGCAGAAATCCAAGTGTCCTATCCGCTAGTCCAATGCAGTTGTGATGACACTGAAGGGACCATATCAAGCCTCTTGATGATTTGGACACCTCACTGCCATGTATATGTATCTTCCTGTTCTGTTAAATACAGAACACGTTCTCCAAGATTACCAAGGAATCACCCAATGAAAACCTGGTGCTGGTGGATCCAAATCTGTTCTGCGTATGGTTAAGTCACTCACTGCCATCTTATTTATAGTAGCTAAAGACAGGATTTAGCAGTCCATTAGGAGGGAACTAGTTACAAAGTTGTGTATCCAAAGATGGACTATTATGACATAATAAAAAAAATAATACACACAGAGTGGTGGTTCATTCCCGTAACTGCACTCAGGAAGCTGCTGAGGCAGGAGAATTGCACCAAGTTTGAAGTCAACATGGGCTACATAGTGAGTCCTAGGCCAGTGCAGGCTACAGTGTGAGACTTTATCTCAAAAAATGCCACAAAAGAACATTGTATGCTGATATAGAAAACTCTTGAAAATATATTTAGGTACATTAGTAAAATGTAGAACTGTGTGCATAGTTTACTGGCATATATGTTAAAACAGAGTTAAATATCTATAATTAGGGGACTAGAGATGGTTCTGTGGTTAAGAGCGCTTGCTGTTCTTGCCAAGGACCTGGGTTAGTTCCCAGCACACACATGGTAACTAACAACCATTGATATCTCCAATTCCAAGGGATCTGATGTGACCTTGAACTCTTGATCTTCCTGCCTCTACTTCCCAAGTGCTGGGATTACAAGCCTGTGCCAGCATGCCAGGCTGAACATGAGCATATGACCTATTCAGAGATGAATAAATGGAAATGTTGAAAATCTAAAAAAAATCATTTGCACAAGAAATATGTAAAAACACCTAGAAATAGGGTCAATTATTGAATCACATGAGCAATACAGTTTGAGAAGGCAACCAAAACAGAGTCAAATGTGAAGTAACAGCTGGGAGATAAAGAGTTAAGGGAGCTGGACAGATGGCTCAGCACACTGGAGAGATGGAAGAGACTGGCTGCTCTTTCAGAGAACTTCACTTTGGTTCCTAGCACCCACATAACAACTGTCTGTAACTCCAGTTCCAGGGCTCCTGAGGCCCTCCTCTGACCTCCGAGGACACTGCATGCCCCAGTGCACTTAGGTACATGCAAGCAAAACACTCATATGCATAAAATAAAATTTTTTTTAATTTAAAGAGTTAAGGCCTGAGTATATACCTCAGGGGAAAGAATGAAGGAGAGAGGAAGAGTGAAGAAAGTCTACCCAGAAATCCATGGTGACAAAAATTTAGACTGAGTCCCACAAAACACCCAGAATTCAAGCATTCACAAAAAATTTACCATGTCCATTTTGAACCTTCTAAATTTTGTATAAAAAATGCCAAAATTATTTCTATAGATAGTTGTCAACTACATTTGTCAATTGAATATACCCAAGACACAATGGCCTGGGCCAATAAAGAAACCAAAAATAGTAATGAGGGCTGGAGCTATTGCTCAGAGGCTGAGTATATTCCCAAGGCCCTAGGTTCAATTCCACAGTACT